GCAGCTAGCCATAGCTAGCTGTGGCTAGCTGTGGCTAGCCACAAGTGTGTGGCTCTTTGCTGCTGAGGCGTTGGTGTGGAGGTGGCGCGGTGTACGTACACCCCAGTTCGGCTCCGCACGAAATAAAATTTGGAAAAGTGCAAAAGTGGAAAGCAGCAGCAGCAGCAGCAGCAGGTGCTGCTGCTGCTGCCCCTGCTGCTGCTGCCATCAGCAGCGAAGCACACAAAAAGACAAGAAGGCGGACAGAAGAAAAACTAATTGAAGCCAAAAGGAAGCGAGGTGTACGTACACCTCAGTGGCCTGCAGCACTTAGTTGTTCGTTTCTTCTTCTTCACAACTAAAAGATCTTTTGTTCTTTTTGATATTTTTAATTAAGGCCAAGAGCTTCGTTTGAGCTGCAAACAGCCGGCGAGTGATGGGGCCCAGCAGCAAATTGAAATCGCCGTACAGCTCCTTTGCAAACTGCGGCCGCGGCATCCGCGCTTCCTGCTGCTGCTGCTGCTGCTGCTGCTCTGCCTGCTGCTGCTGCGCCTGCTGCTCGCCCTGCGGCTGCTGTGCCTGCAGCTGTGACTGCTGCTCCTGCTGCTGCTGCTCGGCCCGCTGTTCCTGTTCCTGCTGCTGCTGCTCTCGCTGCTGCTGCTGCTGCTGCTGCTGCTGCTGCTGGCGCTTGGCTGCGTCTGCATCTGCCTTGTCTGCTGTGACCAGGCACAGGGCCCGGCTGTCTGCGGACTGCTGCGCAACGTCGCAGCGAACAGCATTGAGGACTTTGGCAGCTTCGGCCTTCACTTCTGCGGGCAGGCAGGGGTCTGCTGCTGCTGCTTCTGCTGCTGCCGCTGCTGCAGACCCGATTGCTGCTGCCGCGTCGTCCACAGCGCCCAACGCGCTCTCGATGGCGGAACGGTCAGGCGCTGCACAACAGCAGCAACAACAACAGCAGAAACACCAGCAGCAGCAACAGCAGCAGCAGCAGCAGCACAAACAGCAGCAGCACAACGCAGAAGAAACCCAAAATGACTATACCGACAAAGGAACTGTGTCGAGAACAGAAGTGTGTGCTGTGTAAGAGGCGGGATGGCGCTTTTGCTGCAGCAGTTTCTGCTGCTGCTGCTCCCGGGGGCGGGCTAACCGGGCTGCTGCTGCTGCTGCTGCTGCTGCTGCAGTTACCCGCGGTGCTGTAGATGTAAGCCTTCATGGGCACGGCCAAGTTGGAGAGCTGCTTCTTCATGGCGCCAATCTGCTCCCGCAGCGACAGCACGAGCTCGCAGGCGGGGCCGAAGCCCTCGCAGGGCTGCTGCTGCTGCTGCTCAGCCAGCTCTTGCCAAGGGGGGCAGCTGGGGCCCCCCATGGACTCGGGGACTCGCGAGCCCCCCAGGGGCACGGGCTGGCGGTCTATGGAGTTCATGGGGGCGCGGATCGGGGGTGTTCAGGTTTGGTGCAGTGGCGCGTCGGCGGCCACGGAGGGGGAAACCGGGCCGAAAAACGGGAACTCGGGAAGATCGCGACAGACAATTGCGGTTTATTTCATACTTCATTCGAATTTCCGAAGGAAATGACGCAGAAATCTTGCGCGCGCCACCAGAAACCGGCTATTCAACGTCCCGCAGAGGTTCAGATCTCAGCGGTGTCTGCGCAAAGTCGCGCGGTGGCCTCCCTCCTCTGTTCAGCGGGAGACCACCGTAGGTATTTCGGGGGGAAACGCTAAAAAGGTTTAATTTCAACTTTATTTCTGAAAAGCGCAAAGAACGGAGCGTGTTCTCCTCTGCTGGCCGGCTGACGCTGCGCCCATTAGCCGCCTGCTCCCCGGAGCCTCCTCGCGCTGAGCCTGGTCGGCTGCGACGGCGTGGGTGCTATTTGAGTAGGTTTCATAGCTGGATTCGATTAAGCTTTTGAAAGTTGCGCGTCAAGCTGGCGGCCGAGGCCTTTCTGCCGGCAGATCGCGTCGCCGCTGCTGCTTCGGTACGCAAGTAGAAGGCGGGCAGGCGATCCGCCGGCTACCGTTGGGTCTCCCGCGTTAAAACCCGGAGCATGGATCCAGGGGCCTCTGGGCGTTCTGCAGAGGGCCTCAGGCCCGGGGATGCCGGGGGGGGGCCCCGGGAAAAGATGGAGGCTGCGGTGCGGCTGCTGCCTTCGTGGGGGCCCCCCGACACGACGAGCGAGGCGGAGGCTTCCCCAAGGGAAGAGGAGCTGCAGCGGCTGATAGAAGAGGCCCTGGGAGACGAAGTGCCGGCGGAGGTCTCTCTGGATCCGGATTGGCCGCCGCTGCTTGCCAAGTTGCACGCGAAGTACCTCTTGGGGCTGGGCGCGGACCCCTTCACCATGGAGGCCTTCTTCGGGGCCTCGACGAAGATGGGCGGCGCTTACTGGGCCACCAACGCCCTCTGGCTCCTCGGCCTCCAGAGCCGCAAGAACCGGCGCCTCCTCCACCAGGCCGCGGCAGCAGCAGCAGCCAACAGCAGCAGCAGCAGCAGCAGCAGCAGCAGCAGCAGCAGCAGCAGCAGCAGCAGCAGCGTTCCCGTCCCGGAGAGCAGCGAGGGCTCTTGCGACGCCGCGGAATCCAGCCCCGGCGCGCCCGACGCCCGCGCCTTCCCCCCCTGCAGCAGCAGCAGCAGCAGCAGCAGCAGCAGCAGCAGCAGCAGCGGCGGCGGCGGGAGCAGCGGGAGCGCGGGTCTGGACCGCTTGCTGGAGTCGCGCGAGGACGCGGTGTGCGAGTTCGTGCTGCGGTGCCTGCAGCCGTGCGGGGGCTTCAGCGCGGACGTGTGCCAGGAGGCGCAGCTGGCGTCGACGCACTACGCGCTGCTGCTGCTGGTGGGCCTGGGGCGGCTGCAGCTGCTGCCGAGCGCAGCGAAGACAGCAGCGTGGGTGCAGAGCCTGCAGCAGCCGGGCGGCGGCTTCCTGAGCGCCGCGGGGGGCGAAGCCGACTGCCGCTTCTCCTACTGCGGGCTGGCGAGCCTGTGGCTGCTGGGGGCGCTCTCTGCGGAGGCGCGCAGCAGCGAAGCGCGCTTCCTGCTGCAGCTGCTGAACGAGGACGGCGGCTGCGCCTGGGTGCCGGGGGGGGAGTCCCACGCCGCAGCGGCGTTCTGCTGCCTCGCCGCGCTGGAGCTCTGCGGCGGCCTCTGGGCCGTCGACCGCAGCAAAACTGCGCGCTGGCTGCTCGCCCGCCAGACCCCCGCCGGCGGCTTCAACGGCCGCCCCGAGAAGGCCCCCGACGTCTGCTACTCCTTCTGGATCTTCGCCGCCCTCAAGCTCCTCGGCTACGACTCCGCGGCCGACGCGCCGCGCCTCGCCCGCTTCGTCCTCGCCGCCCAGGACTTCGGCTTCGGGGGCTTTGCGGACCGCCCCGGCGACGTCGCCGACGCCTTCCACACCTTCTTCGCGCTCGCGGCCCTCGGCTTGGTCCGCGGCGCCCGCGCGCTCCAGCCCCTCCACCCCGTCGCCGCGCTTCCCGCCGCCCTCGTCGCGCTCCTCGGGCTCGACGCCCGCGCGCTGCCCTACTTGCACTTCTCTTGACGGCCCGCTGCCGCTGCCGCTGCTGCTGCTGCTGCGGCTGCGGCTGCGGCTGCGGCTGCGGCTGCGGCTGCGGCGCAGCCGGGCGGCCTTCGCGTTGCTTGCTGCCGCCCAAACGTCTTCTTCTCCGCTTTTGCGCGCGCAGTGCACAGACGCGACGCGCAAACGCAGCTCGCCGCCGCGAAAAGGCCCGGACTCCGACGCAGCCCCCCACCTCGCCAGTGCAAGAATGGCTTGCGCCTTTCGACCGGCGCAAGGCGCTGCGGTTCCCCGCTGCGGAGTCCAGCCGCAGCAGCGGCCGCGCTCTTTTGCACTTGTGTCCGCAACTTCGCCGCCGGCAGTTCGCCGCCGGTTGTCGAACGCCGACAGAGCGCGGCGGGTTGTCAACGCCTGGCGGCTGCCATCCTCGGCGCCTCCTCCGCACTCGCCAGCAACTGAAATTCAAACTTGTGTTTCGTTTTTCGCAGCCCTGAAAGCTTCTTTCGACCGGCCCGCGGCGACGCAGCAGCGCCGCCGCAGGCCGCTGTGCAGTGCAGCTTTTAACGATCTTGCTGGAGCCGCAGCGGCGCGCTGCCGCTGCTGCTTCCTTTGCCGTTCCTCCTCGCATTTTTCTTTCTTCCTCGGCAACTTACTTCGTGACGAGCGGAAGAGTTTCGCTCCTCTGCGGCCCCCCCACGACGGGCGACGAAGCCGACTCCGCGTCGCCTGTAGCTGCGCAAAAGACAGCAGCACAGAGCAGCAAACGCCGCCTCAAAAGAACAGCAAAACGTTCCGGAGAGGCAACAGCAGCAAGAAAACGGCAAGATCAAAGAGGCCTGCGAACGCCCGGAGAGGCGCACGAACCTGCAAGGGCCGAGCCGTGGCGGCTGTCAGACTTGTAGGTGAGGTGGAGGATCCCGTAAGCCACAATCGTGAGCAACCAGGGCCCCACAGTCATGCACAACATCGCCAAAGATATCGCGCGGGCGTTTCCCACGCGAACAGACTCCGCCGGGGCTGCTGCCAGCAGCCCACCGTGGGGCGGCTTGACGTAGCCAAACACGTTTTCGCACAAATAGCCAACAATGGGCGCGCCCAGAGCAGCGGCTCCGACGCCCTCGAGGCAGGAAACCTGAAAAGCAGCAGCAGCAGATTCGAATTCCGTGCAGTTTCCCCGCTGTTCTGCTCTCACTGACACAAAGGGTGACTGCCAAAAGGCAGGAAAAGCAACAGCTTCTGCAACGAAATCAGCAGCATTCAGAAGGCTGTTGCAGCCAGAGGCGCAAAGCCACGCGGAACGGAAACGGCTCTGCACTCACCAGGGCGAAAGTCGTGGCCCGGTGCTCTGGATAAACGATTTCCGTGAGAATGGGACGGTTGACCCCCACTCCGGGCCAGCCGGCCAAGAAGCCCATCAGAACAGCCAGGATTACAAATGTGCCCAGCGAGGTCGCTTCTCTTGGCACACACGTTAACATAATAGTCATCAGGATGCAACGCGCCACTATGCAGATCTGCGCCAAACACTGCCGCCCGTGGTAGGGGTATCGAGAATGTATGAAGTCGCCGGTGCACCCAATCACCGGCGCAACCACCATCGCTGCGATCCAGCTGGACGACACGATGAACGAGGCCCACCAATCTGGAATGCTGCAGTACTGGAAATACATCGTCGAAAAATGAATTGCAGAGCGAGGGATTCCGTTCAGAATCCCCTGAACGCAGCAGCGACACGTCACAGTCATGCGAGCTAGGATTCGAAAAATTTGAATCGAGGATTATTCAAGTGGAACGCATTGCGAGGTGTCTAGCTGCTCAGCTCACCATAAGCAGCATAACCCATACGCTTCCATTCCGAAACACATAGGCTGTTTCACTGAGGGGAAACCAGTGACCTTTTTCTTTCTGCCGTTTGCGCTGGTGTGGACAATCTGTGATCCGGCACCCAAGTAAGATTCCAGTTAATATGGAAATCATCCCGAAACCAACCATAGCATGCCTCCATCCTTCAATTCCCCACATTGCGAGTCCAGATGCAGATGTCGTAATAGTAAGAGACAGAACTCTGCCGAAAGATTGAAAAAAGTGCAAGATGCCGAAACTTCGACCGCGATCGTTCTCGGGGACCTCCTGTGCAATCACTTTCTGTGACAGGGGGCCCATGGCTGCCATAAAGATACCGAGAACGCACATTAGTGGCAAGACTTGCCATTTCTGGGTGATGTAGAGAAGGGCGCTCGTTGCTGCGCCCCAACCGAGGGCTGAAGAAGAGAATATGCGTCTGCGACCGCAGCAATCGATGATGAATCCCCAAATGGGGCAGGTTAAGACGTGAGATATGCGGGTGGCAGAAGATAGAGCACCTAGGGACTGGGGAGAGAATCCCATGTCCCTCTCAAGAGCTTTGAAACAGGCGGGAAGGAGCTGGTCGATAGCGCCATGTACGCCACCGTACAAGTAGGTTAACCGAACGATCCTCTCAGAAGTTGGATCTAGCTTTTGTCCACATAAATGAGACTTGAAGTCATAGCTAGTATTTTCGTTTCTGTCCTTGTTTTCATCGGAAGGCTGTGACCGCCGCCGATCGTCGGTGGTCTGTCGGCGGGCGGGATCTTGTCTAGGCGAACTGACATCATCCATTTTCTCATGAGTACCTTCACGAAAGAATTGAATTTGTTTAGTCTAGGTGAGTGACAGTATCTTTTGAGAACACCGACAATGTGGATGAATTCACAGGGCCCCAGGCTGAGGAAGCCGCAGCTTCATGGTCCAGCCGGGGTCAGTTTCGAACGGAGTCACACTACTCAAACTAGGTTCTAAAGCAACATTCTTTAGAAGAAACAAAAATAACCGTAGAAATGAAAGGGGGTGTAAGAAGTGTCGAATGCAAAGTACTGCCGTCGATTCGTGGTGTATTGACACAAGGCCTGGTGACACTGTGGCCTCGGGCGCCGCATGCCAACCAGAGTTGTTCGTGTACACGAAGTGATTGCCAAACGATTCTGGAAAATGAAGCGCTATACCTCGTGTCTCGTCTTCGCCGCCTGGCTGTGCGTCAGCGCAAAAGCGGAAGAAGATACCTATGTTCCTCCCGTCCCGTTGCACGAGGCTGTGACTACGAGGACCACGGCCACGGACATCAACGACGCTTCACTTACGGGGGAACAAGTAAGAATCAGCTACGATTAAGTAGATGTCCGGATTTCAAACCAAACGCCTCCTTTCAGGAAAAGCCTGCAGCGGAAGTTGGTACGAAACCGATTGCGAATGGTGATCCACAGCTTTCGTATTGCACTTCGACCCTACAGCTGACAGCCTTCGCCAAGGAGCACCAGCTCCTGCGGAAACTGGAGATGGTAGCACTTTGACGAAAGCTGACGTAAGTATATGCCCAACAACACAGCGAACTCAATGGGTGCAAACTTACTTGGAAACCTCAGACTGACGCCAGTCCTCCCCAGAGCGACGCCTCAAAGATGAGCGAGATCACAGGAGGCCCGGAAGCATCGGTAAATTCAGCCGAAGTTCTTCCTTAGATTCAACGTTCTCATTCTGACATTTTGCACCAGGAGGTGTCTGCGAGTGAAACAGCTTCGGTAAGAGAGAACTTTTCGCAAAAGCTGGCAAGCAACCTGTGATAATCCATTCATCAACAAACAGAATGCGGCCCCAGTCGCTGCAGAGATGGGCGAAACCGCCAATGAGCCCATGCCAGCCGAAATGATGCAGTCCAAGAAGAGCCTCGTGACGGACCCAATAGCTGAGATGATGGGTGGCGAGTTCAACACCGAAGTAAGGAATGATCAGCAACTCAACCGATCTGCCAAACGCTCATATTGTTTTCTTATTCAGGTCAACCAGAGGATGGCCGATAGCTTCCTCAGCGTTCGCTCACGCGTTCTGCGCCTTAAGGCTAATCGTGACATGTAATTGATCGCCGCCGGAATTCTCCAACACGTTGTTCCTCCAAATGCCTCCCTTCGCTTTTTTTAATTTCGGTCCACACAGACACCAATAAGCCATTGGAGTTGGAGTGGAAACATGTAGAGGACTAATTGATTAGTGGTCAAATCAGTCCGCAGGTAGTTTTTGCCGTCTTCAGCACTTTTGTGTATCTTTCGACCATCGCAGTAGTGCAGTCATCAACACGCAACTTAATTGTAGATATCACTTCAGTCGCCTCGCTCAACTATCAGATCACACGAGAGCCTGAATCCAGCTGCCGACACTACTGCTCGGCTGCTGCGGCTTCAGTGCAAAAAACGTTTTTCATCCATTTTTGAAAAGATTCTTGTTGTTGACACGATGTTATTTTGCAAAGAATGAATTCACCGTACTTTCCTCGGAGCATGTGTTCCCTAGCCCGCTATACGCATATACTTAGAAAGTTCGGTTTCTTGTAGTGCACACATAGTTTAGTTTAGAAAACTTTCGTGTGTACGCTCATTATTCATCTCCACTTCGTAACAATCGATCAATTGCAGATTCGCTTCTGATGCCCGTTGTCGTGTGGATTTGAAATCTGTAGGTGCAGCTTGCTCACAGATTCGTGGTTTAGCTTTTGAAACAAAAAGCTCAGAAATAATGAAACGTGTACAAACTAAGGCGGCACACTGCGTCCATGAGTAAAACTACCCCGAGCCAGCCGTTCCATGCATCCTTGAGATCTAACGGACCATGAGCTGTCACAGTGATAGGAGCTTACTTAAGGCTTCCTCGTATGAATATGTGAGCTGTTTGGTGTCCTACAACAAACATTTCTTCCTATAGAAACTATTTTGAGATAGTCCCGCGTTGTCATGCTGCCGAAGTCCCAACACAAAGTACAGACACAAAGCCCCGTACTGTGTTTCAGCCTTAGTCCCCATTTCACCAAGCTGTGCCCATTCTCTAGTGATCAAATAGAAGAAAAAGAAATGTCAGGAAATGCTACAAATAGTTAATTTGAGTCATGAATTTAAGGATCAGACCCTTTAGTTGGGTCCCGGAGCTGCGCGTTTTGGCGCCTCAGCTACCCGCGTGGGACATTGCAAGCCAACCTAAGGACATTCGAGTCCCATAATCACTGAAGGTTTTCTGGCAAGGAGGTTGAATCCACAGTATCAGCTGAGACTTAAGCTTCTCTATCAGTCGGTGACTGAGGGAGGGCTGCGTCGCCTGCGATTTAGAAAACGCGGAGCAGCCAGGCGTCCCGGGCTGCCGATCAAAGAATGCCCAGGCGAAGAGTTACACCAGCTGCCGAAGAAGTGCAGCATGATCCCCTTGACCATGATGACCAGGGGAACGACGAGCAGATCAACCGAACAGAGTCAGCCGATTCGTCGCCGGCAGAAAGCCGCGACCGTAATCAATCAGTAAGTTATCAATGCACTAGCCCTGCCGATGCATGCATAGACGCTACCGATGAGGTAACTGCGATCTAGCCAGGAGCTTCTTACGAGCCATTCCAAGGACATGCAGGTTAGTAACCCACCCAGGAGCCTGAAGAAATCATCCATGCTATGTTGGCAGTTGTCTGAATCTCTTCGTTGTCTGTTCCAGCAACGCGCCCGTCGAGGATGCTCGGGATGTAGCGATGGATTAAAGCGAACTTGTGGCTGTGGCCGATGTTACTGTTGCTCTCATGCTGCACTTGACGACTTCATGCAGCAGCGGTTGTCGACTTGGGAGCCGTTACTCACTCCAAGGCGTATTTTGTTTGCGCTTTTCGGCGTGGGTTTGCTTTTTGTGGTTGTGGGGCTTGTTATACTCCTTGTGAATAGCGCCATCGTCGAGTGTAGAGTGGACTACACGAATATGACGGGCGATCTAGAGCTCAAGGTACTCTCTATGCACATTCCCCGCTAAACGGACTCCTGTGTTCCCTGCTGAGGCCTTTCCGAAGTACAGAAGCACGCATTGTAATCTTCGATTCCGGAGTCTGCGTCTGGCACTGCGCCTTTTGCAGATAGACGCTTCGACATGCACAGACACTTCAATCACGGAGATTACCGGAGATGTGCTGCTCTACTACGAACTGTCCAATTACTTTCAGAATCACCGGCATTTCATGAAATCCCGGTCTGACAAACAGTTAGGAGTGAGTTTATCAGTCCGTGTTCGACATCCATCCAGCTGCTGGCAACCGAGCGACGCAGGACGTGTTTTGGGAATCCGTTCATTTTTTTCGCCTGCAGAACGGCTCAAAGAGAGAGTGAACGCTTGCTGTTTCTACCTTATCTGGCGGCCGCAAGAGCCTGCATCGAACTAATGGAACAGTCCCGTTTCACGCGGATTTTTCAGCATTTCTCGCTGTGTTTTGCGCAAAACAGGGGAAGGTTTTCACCGCAGCTTCCGAAGTGAGTTCATCGTGTGACCCGCGGGTGGAGTCGGCGGACGGGCGCATTTTGCACCCGTGCGGCCTCAGCGCTGCCGCAGTTTTCACAGACGAGTTTTCTGCTGTCGGTGAAGACAAAACGACGGAGATAGAGCTGGACGAGTCTCGCGATGCAATTTGCTGGAACTTCGACCTTTCGAGCTTCAAGAATCCGACGGAAGAAGAAATGCAAGGCGTCGCCTCTAAGGTCAAGTTTTGGCTCTACGACCAGCCCTACGTCGACTCGCTTCATATGGAGAAGGCCGGTGGGTTTCAGCGCTGTCTGCGTCCGCCCGAGGGGCCCTTGCCTTTGCACTTGCACTCCCAGCCGTCGCTGCACAATGCATGCAGTTCGCCGCCGCTGCATGCAGCAGGTGTTCCGGCTGCGCTGTGGCAGGCGTGGGCTGGGGCGTCGAGAACTCCCACTTCATCGTGTGGATGAAGGACGCGCCCTTGCCCGTATTTCGCAAGGCGTACGCGCGGTTTGTTCAGCAGCCCCTGAAGCTGCCCTTCTACCTCAAGGTCACCAACAACACCTACGACGTCAAGTCCTTCGGGGGTGAGCGGCGTATCTCGCTGTCACTTTGGGCGAAGCAGTTCCTTTTCTTTAGGCCAACTGCCCCGCTCGTGAACGCAACTTTAATTCGTGCAGCGCTTGTCTCTCTGTGAGGGAAACAAGCCTTACAAGGCTTTTAAGTTGTGTTCAAAAGGGGCACTTAGCAGGTGCCTGTGCGTGCAAGTACAGGAATTGCATTTTTGCAGGCTTGCAGAAGTGCATGTGCATGTGTGCTTTTGTCTTTTTGATATATCTGCGCTTATCTGCATTTGCACTGCTGAAGGTCTGTTCGCGCAGACACTACTCAGCAGCAGAAGGTGTGGAGATGCAGATATGCAGTCCCACAAATATGCCTATACACTTGGCCCCTCGTATTCGTGCCTATCTTGCCATTCAGAAGTGCCCAAAATGTACTTGCAGGCCTAGGCAGTATTCAGGCAATTGTGCGTTTCTGCGGTGGAAATGTACACTGACGGGGCGATGCCGGCGGGTGCTTTCTGTCTGTGACCCGAGTGCATCTGACCATCCACGGGAGGTGTACAGACACCTGCAGAGGCGCATTTGTGGGCACTTGCAAACGCTTGCATGCGGGGAAAGCGCTGGGAGTGGGTTTTGGCTGCAGGGTCGAAGAGCGTGGTGATAGGCCAGGCGTCGTGGCTGGGGGGCCGCACTTCGTTTCTGGGGATTGCGTACTTGGTGGTTGGCAGCGTCTGTCTGCTGTTCTTCGGCGTTTTGTTTTACTATCACCGGCGGAATCCGCGGCACTTGGGAGACGTCTCGTGGCTGCGCAGGGCGCTCTACGCGTAGCCCTGGCGAGCCGCTGAGGCTTAGTGGAGTTCAGGCTCTGGGCTGTGCTGCGGGCCCCTCGCTGCACGTTTTTGAGTGCGCGAGGGCCCCGCAGGCGCAGCAGTCTGCAGCAGGAGGGAGAGACGCAGAGGCAGCAGGCCGCGCCAGCTGGCCCATTTGCTTCTCCAGAGGGCCCCGCGCAGTTCTGTCCCTCCAAGCTGCATGCGCTGCCGGCCCCGCAGCTCGCGGAAGTGATATGGATTTTGCTTCTTTAAGGCCTCTAGAGCTCGAGGCCCCAGCTCCGAGCGGGCAGCAGTTCGGCCAAGTTAGTGCGGCGCTAGAAGTAGAAGAGGCAGCTTTAGAGCCAGAGAGTTCTGCATAGGGCTCAGAAGTAGGTGGCGGAACGAGAGGCGCAGCAACTGAGGCCTCAGGGCTCTTGGCCGCTCTAGCGAATTGAAGAGCCCTTGGGCTGAAACTCCCTCGCGCGGTCTTCCATTTCGTCTATCCACGACGCCAACTGGTTGTAGCCAACCAGCTCGCCGCGCGCGCCGTGGGATATTGTGGCGAGCAGCTGCTTAATTTCCTCCTCTGAGGCTGCTGGCCTCAGGCCCTCGAGGTTCTCCAAGAAGTCGTTCTGCAAATTTTTAAATAAATAATTGTGAAACGCCGACTTCAAAAACGGGCTGCAGTGCGGGTGTACACTGCATCTGCGTCTCAGTGCACCCAGCTGCCTCACCATTGTCACGTAGCCGTCAGCGTCATCATCCAAGAAGTCGAAAAGATCCTGTGAATTTTCGCCAGAAAAGGGATTTCGGGAGTCTAGAAATAACAAGAAGATCCAGCCTACGCGTTTTTGTGTTTCCCTGAGGTGGGGAGGCAGTGAGGCTCTTGTCTCATCCTCCAACAAGTGCATGATCATCTGTTGCGCGCATTGTTTAGCTTGCTGAAGTAATTATTTTAAACTCGAAAAATTAAGCGGCATACTGCAGTAAATGCGGGATAAGTGAGTCTCCGCGAGGCGTCAAACGCTTCCACCCATCCTTCTGAATTTCGAAGATGAAATTTGGCAGACGTTTGCTGCTTCCTGGAGCATCCCAGAGATCCGAGTTTCACCTGCTTTCGCTCTGCAGTCGGGTATCCTCTCTTCGAGGGCGAAAGCCTCGATCATTTTGAAAATGTTTTCGAGGGAAATTCTGGGTTCGACGTCGATTTTTGCGAATGCGTGGAACACGTCTTGGTAGCCCTTTTGCACTTCTGGAGGGAGGCTGCTGTAGATCTGGTTGGCCTCTTCGATTTCGCCCATGGCGCGGCCGGGGTGGGAAGCGAAGAAAGTGTCGGCCCTGAAACGCAGAAACTGCAGAATCTGGTACTGGCGCTCGAGCTGCTGCAGCTGAACTCTGTGGGCGCTGGCAGCAATGGCCTGGCGGCTGGCGAGAGAGCCGATGTTGCTGAGGAGAGTGAAGTTCGTGGCAATTGCGGGAAAAAGGCCCATGCTGAGCAGCAGAATCAGCAGGGGGGCGAAGCCGCTCCAGTAGCCAAGCACTGCGAACATCACGTGCTGGTAGTGCGGCGACAGCAGCAGCTTCGCAGTGACTGTGACGGCCACCACGTGCAGCGACAGCGAAAGTTGAATCAAAGTCCGCAGCGCCGGAACTCCTCGCGGGCCCAAAATAAACAAAGACTCCTGCGCATTCATCACTCGGGCGCCTCTAATTAAGCCACAAAGAGCTCCGTTTCTCGTGATCGGGGGCAGCAGCTCGAGGGGCGCTTGCGGCAGCTGCGCAGCTTTCCGGGGCTGCGCCAGCGCCTGCAGGTACTCGCTGATCTCCTTGCTGCTCGGCGTGTGGTAGTTCATGATGGTTTCCAGCCTCCAAAAGAGAAACAAGTTGAAAAACAAAAGGCCCCCGGCGGCGAAGACCAGAAACTCCATCAGCGGCGTCGGGTTGAAGCCGAAGACCGGCCGCAGACACAGCAGCAGCGGGATGAACAGCAGCCACGTGGAAACTGGTATTTCAACCATGTGCAGCAGCGCCTCGGAAAGCCTCTCCGACAGAAACTCCCCGAAGGCGAAGTCCCCCTCTTGGTGCGGCACAAACGGCGTCAGCGGATTCATGAATCGAAACCGGAGAAACCAAAAACGAAGTGCCGCGTCGGACGGCTGCCCGCTCTCTATGAGCTTCTGAAACTCGAACACGCCCATCTCGTCGTACCTGCCAAATGCGGTGAAGTGCGGCCCCGGCGTTTCGCCTGTGTCGCTGCTTACTGGCGCCACTCCTGCGTAGTCGAGAGCGAAACTGAGAGAAGCACAAGCACACTGACTGTAAACGTCACGAGCAAAAGAAAAACAATAATGTGGGCGCTTTCAAACAGCTCAAATATGACAGTGGGCGCCGCATAGGGGTTTCCGCTTTCTTCCTTCAGCTCAGCAATGCCGATGCGCTCGAGGGAACTTTGGCCAAGCAGTTTGTCGTTTATTGCCATCGTCACTCCGAAACGCGTCAAAAAAAACAAAAGAAGAGAAATGAACCCGAGCACCGTCACCTCTTTCGTTATCGCCTCCACCACTTTCACCACATGGTGCAAACGCCGGTGTTCCAAATACTCTACGATTTCCTCATGCGCCACCTGAACAAGCATTCATGCGTTCTTCGCCTTTCGCGTTCATTTTGCGTGAAAACCCACTTCAAATAGCAACGTCAGGAACAAGATCACCACCAGGATGGCAATAGTTATATTGGCGCGTGCAAAGGAGTGGTCATGATCCTCTGCTGCAGCTGCAAGCTGACACGCGCCACCTGAGGCTGTGCAAAGCATCCTTGCCGGGGGGTTAAACCCCAACGTAAAGGTTAAAAACGAAAACATGGCCTACATAGGAACGAATAGCGTTTGAACGTACGCATCCAGCGCGCCGCACTTTCCACAGAGCACGAAGAAGAAATATCAAGTGTCTCGACTCGCCAATAATTTTCCCAATTTCCCTGATAGTCGGACTAAAGGCCGAAATAAACCTTCGCTTTAACCACAAACAGCGAAGGGAAGCCCAATGGAGCTCGCAGCTCGAAGCAACACTTTTCTGAATTCCTCAGCAGCAGTGGCGGCAAGTGCACAACGCGTGCAGATGGCCACGCTCTCTCCAGGCCTTCTTTGGTAGCATTCTGTCTCGAATTTTTTTCTCCTTCTCATTTTATAAAAGCTGCGCCTTTTTCTGCCATGTGGGTGGAACCCGGTGTCTGCACGTCTTATCGTGCAGGACATACCTACGCCTGAAAGCTTGAAACTAAAGGATCCGGCAAGACAGGATATTCTTTATCTTGCTTTCTACCTGCAAAAAGGGCTTATTTACTGTTATTCGAGGAGTATTCATCCCTGAATAAGTTGTGGTCGTACATTGCATCCATCACTACAGATGCGTCTACAAGCTGAATACTGTGTACCTTCATACTCAAGCAATGAAACAAATTCAATTTCCTCTTCACTCTAAGCCTAAGTTGACGGATGGCAGGAAAAAATATAAGAAATCCATCCCCGGCCGATCTATTAGAAATCCATCCCCGGCCGATTTCACTTATAAATCAGGGCACCTCGCACAAAAAGAGGAAGACTTCAAACACTTGCAAAGAAACTGCTTTGTTGGTTTTTCATTCAGTTTGAACAATTTTTCGTGAAATTTTACTGTCAATTACACTGGGAAGGCTTCCTGGGGCGCCTACTTTGGCTGATCCGAACCAATGGTACAGCTTTGTTCTGGCAATTTGCCACCTCCCCTTACAGGTTTACAGCCTCCTTGTGTATAATTCAGAATTAATTGATAAGCGTTCGGTGTTGTTTGCCCCTAATATTTGTCCCTATTTAAGGTTTCTTAAACTCCAAGAGTGAGATCGCGTGGACGATTCGTTTTGCAACGCCACGTTCTGACATGGCTTCTGCAAGTCTCAGGTCTTTTCGTCCCTGTAAAGGAGCAATGTATTGCATGTTCATATATTATGAGGCAAGGATGCATATAATGGTGTCAGTTAATCATGTTTTTTACCAGTATTTCATTTGTTGATGTAGCATTTGCTTCACGAGCGTGACCCCCACCGTAACACTCGTGATGCGATCTGCACGATGTGACCGCGTGGATTGATGAAGGAATCTCAGCCAGCAAATACAAGAAACTAACAAGCACATTATTTATGAATGCATGTACCACTTGGAATCAATGAACTTCGGAACAGCGAATTAGGTGTGAGCTTTTCACTACTGGAACAGCTAGTCTCTGCGTTGCAGGGGGAACGATTTCCCCTCAGAAATAGTCAGAGATATTTGCACTCTTATTCTCAGCAGAACTGGGAACTTTTCAGTTGATTCTGGCATTGAAAAGCAGATATTTCAGGGGACGGGGCTAGCAGCCGTGGAGTTCAATTCAATTTGTGGCTTCATATAGAAGCAAACTAAAACACTGGAGGGAGGAGTTCAATGGCAACACAGAAAAGCCTCCCACGCACGACGAATAAGACGTGAACACGTATTTGTAGTAGTGCGAAATGGTGTGAGTCTTGCTGCCCCGTGTGGGCGTGCACAGATAAGCATACTTCTCTGTCTCTGACATAAAACCGCAATTTAATAAAAGGCCTTTCGAATGAAGGCATTGGAGAGAGCCAAAAGGTCACCTGCAGCATGTTCGCTTTGAAAAGCCTTTCACAGACGGGACCAGATTCATGGCTGGAGTCAGCAGCGGAACTGAAACGATCGCAAAATAAAGTGCATTAGAATGATGAAAATCACTTTCGGGGAAATATATATTTAGTTTCAACAACAAACAGCTCAATATTTGCGGCAAATGGGTATTTCAAGGCCACGGTACAAGAAAACTGCAGAGAATCACCGGCTTACAACGCAGCCAGGTAGAAGGCACAGAACTGGAGGGGTAGATAGCAAGCGAATTTTATATATGAAGCTTAACAGAATTCATCAGAGGAAAAATTAATGATAAAAGAACAGCAGTAGCATACTGAAATGCAGGATCGACGGTGAAAGCAACTTAGAGATCTTCGTCAGCTGTGTATGCTGCAACAGAATCAGACTGGGAAAAAGAAAACAAAACTGGACAGGCTGACTACTTTGCATTGCAAAAGTGTACAGGGGAGGAAATGTAACTATTTCTTTCTCAAATCAGCACTTTCAATAGTGCACGTATGCAGTGCGGATATACATTACCGTTTTGAGGCGTAGGGGTTACAATTCAGTCAAGATTTAGGGCTTAGGTTTTAGGATCTGACGGAAGGGGCTTGAAGGTCTCAAGTCCAGCATTCGAGGGTTTGAAGTGGCAGTTTTAGACTGGCACTGTCAGCAATAACATCGCAGAAACAAAGCAACGCGATACGTAGAACCAATAAGCTCAATTTACACGAATTAGAAGCGAATGAACAGGTCTTCTTTCTGTTCTGCTTCCAAACATCAAGACACTCCGCCCCATGTCAACATCTTGCACTTGTTTAGCTGCACCGCAACTTTATCTCTGTGCACTTCTGAAGCGCCCCTTGTCCTTCACTTGTGCCTAGAGGCGGCTTGGCAGGTGCTGAATGAAGAAGTCCTTTGAGGAGCACGCAAAACACAGAAACAAGGCATCAAACTCACTTTGGCGCTTTTAATGACTTGGCACTTTAGAATTATACTGTTAGATCAGGCGTTTTCACTGCATTTGAACATTTTCGTGCAGCTGCACGCAGCAAAAAACGTACGGTGAGAATCGCGAGAGTTTAAAACCTGGAATTCATGTGTTTTCTGCCACTAGAGCCTTTAAATAAAAACATGTGAAGCGCTGGCCTTTGGCCTTGCTTCTCGGCAGTACCTTGAGGGTCAAAACATTTACTGTCTGCGCACACGGTCATCTGGCTCTATCTAGCAGTTCTGGGCATGCGCTTGGCCTACAGGCAAAGAATTCGAATGGACTGTAACTATTTCATCTTATATTGCAGCGACAAAGCGGAACAAACCACAGACTCGGAAGTGCAACTCTTTGGTAAACACCTGAGTTCTCTCAATCTCGAAAACAGAACTTGTTGCTGCCTTGCTGGGAGACTCAAATAGGGGTTCTGATTTGGCGCACTCAAAGATAAAATAACTAGCATTTGAACTTCAGAGGTTTTCGCTCGGGTTTATTGTTCGTGAAGTGCTTTCACTACATTCATTCGACCTTGGGGCCCTCCCAACGCTTTTGTGTCGCGCAGGGCTCTCGCCCTCTTAAGCGTTAATCCCACATTTAATGTCCAGTTGGCACGCATTGCAAACGAATTTCGTGAAGTTTAATGAAATAAAGAGCTAGGCCAGCCGTCTTTACCAGCCCGGTGTGTGCGCAGTCAAAACCGGGTGAAGCCCGTCCGTGGCTTTCTGCCGATGCATGTTAACGTCAAGTGTCTTCTCTTGTCCTAGCCTCCCGAGTCGCACCCACAAAGGTGTTTCAATTAATTAAGCTATCTTTTTGACAGCATTTCAAGCTGCCGGGGCGTACACACGGCTGGCGGCCTGGCGATTCATCTTCCTTGCAGCGCATGGAGGCGCCCGACTGCTTGCTCTGTGTGCAGACACACACTCTGTTGTTTGCTGCGACTCCGGAAAACTGCCTTCTATCCCTTTTTCCGCATTTTCTGTTGTTTCCAGAAGTTTCAGTGATTTCTGGCGCGTAACTCGCCTCCGAGGGCCCCCGGAACAAGCAGCACCTCCAGAGCCGCTGTTCTGCGGCGCCAGCTGGCTCTCGCAGACTCACCGGCTCAGCACCATGGGGGACCCGAGTGGCAGCCGCAGCGGAGCCCCTTCGCGGCTTCATACGAAGGCAATGGAGGCCTTTTCGCTGCCAGCCCGCCGCGCTTCCCTCGCGCGCTTCGAGACATCGCCTGCAGACTCCTTCTTCGCCTCCGAGCCCCCCCCGCCCAACGTCGCGACTGCTGGCCTCCGAGTTCGCCAGTTTGTGCGGCCGCTGCACGAAGAGGAGGCTTTGAAGGAGGCGAAGGTGGCGATTGTCACGGCGGGCGGCACAGACGTCCCTCTGGAGGTAGAGCGGCTGCTCTTTGCTTCCATTCAACATTTGCGTTTCGCTTCTTATTTATCAAGTTCCTGCACTCAGGCAGGGAGTTCTGCTGCTGGAGGCGTAGATCTGCTGCTGCTGCTGCTGAGGTGCTGCTGAGCAGCCGCGGCTCCTGTTCCCGGCACCCGCATTGGGTGCACTCGCTTGCTGCTGCTGTTGCTGTGCTGCTGCTGCAGTTGCTGCTGCTGCTGCTGCAGTTGCTGCTGCTGCTGCTGCTGCTTCGCTCACAGCGCGCGTTTTCAGTGCGTTTGCTCTGCAGCGAGAGGCCGTGCGGTACATCACCAACACCAGCTCCGGGGCTCGGGGGGCAGCTCTTTGCGAGCAGCTGCTGCGTCTGGGCTATTACGTAATTTTGGTGACTTCCATAAGAGCCATAAAGCCCTTCGTGCGTCACCTGCTGCCCACTTACCCGATGCCCGCAATCCTCGACTTCATATCTCTCCGCGTGCAGCAGCAGCAGCAGCAGGGGGAGGCGGGCGAGGCGGGCGAGCAGGAGCAGCAGCAGCAGCGGGAGGAGGAGCCGCAGCAGCAGCAGCAGCAGAAGCTGCCGCTGCAGCCAATCGTGGAGGAGCCCTCGGAGTCCGTGGGCTCTGAAGACGAAGTCGAAGCTCCTGCTGCTGCTTCCACTTCTCGAGGCCTGGCCTATCAAGTGTACGAAGTGGTGGAACAGGAAGTGTCTGAGGGCGTGTCAGTGACTTCCGTGGGTTCTGTCCTCAGCAGCAGCGACTCTGCTGCAGCAGCAGAAGACGCAGCTGCAGCAGCAGCAGCAGCAGCGGAGGGCTCTGCTGCAGCGGCGCGCGCGAAGCAGCGGCCGCCCACAGACCCTGCCGAGCCCGCAGGCGCAGCAGCCAGCGGCTCTGCTGCTGCTGCTGCTGCTGCTGCTGCTGGGCCCTGGCAAGTGTCCCTGAAGGGGCCCCTGCAGCGGGGGGGCCCCCAGGGCCCCCAGGAGCTGCCGGAAGAAGAAGTGGAAGCTGCGGGTTGGGAGTTTGAGGGGGGCGAGGCGGAGGCGGCTCTCAGGCTGTACAGACACTGCAAAGACCGCCTCCTCTGCGTCACTTACAAAACTCTCGCCGAATATGCATTTATTGTTCGGGCAGTTGCTGCGGGGGCGGCGCCGCTGCGGGAGCGGCTCATGTTCTGTTCAGCAGCAGCTGTTGCAGATTTCTACTTGCCCTATTCCGTGAGGTCTCCCCACAAGCTGAAGACTCCGCAGCACCACGAGACGGCTCACCGTGCAGCCAACGCACCTGGCGCTGCAGCAGCAGCAGCAGCAACAGCAGATGGGGGCTCGGAGGTCCAGAGGGGCCCGTCACGCAGCATTTCCACTATGACTTCGATGCAGCCCAAGCGGTGGTTCACAGGCGAGGTGGCGCCGCAGGACAGCTACAAGGGCGCTGGCGATGCAGGCGAAGCAGCAGCAGCAGCAGAGGCCTCAGATGCGCAGCAGCAGCACCATTCGCACCATTTCAGTTTGCGGCTCTGGGTGGCCCCCAAGATGCTGCTGGTCGTTCGCTCCGTGGCCCCGCATTGCTTCTTAGTGGCCTTCAAGCTGGAGACAGACGAAAGCCGACTGCAGCAATCCGCCATGTCCTACTTAGAGGGAAGCAGCAGCAGCAACAACGGCTCAGGCGTGGCGGACTGCGTCGTGGGCAATGCGCTGCGAACTCGGAGAGAGAAAGCGACGCTTTTCACGAAGATTGGACAGAAAGAAGTAAAACAAAAAAATAAACAGACCAAGAAGTACCTCGGGGTGAGTCTTGCGGTTGAAACGAAGCAGCAGGCGAAACAGTCAGCAGATCAAGCAGCAAAACAATTGTAATAGAACAAACTGCAACAGTAGCTTAGGGTCGCGCAGTCAGAGTGTACAGACTCGAACAGACTGGTACAAAGATACACAAAAATCAGAGAAAATGAAATAAAATAAAAGGACTTGAGTGCTTTCCTCAGCTCACGACCAGCGGCAGCAGGGGAGCACAGGAGTTGCAGTTTCTGTTTTACTGATAGAGTTTGAAGACAGTCAAATCTGCTTATCCTTTCAGTCTTTGTACGGAATTGCACAAAGTGCTGCTGCCGTATCTGCTGGTGATTAGAGTTTATGTTGAGCTGCTGCATGCATTGGTCTGTCTTTATTCGCTTTCAGCACGGCACTATTGAAGCCCGCCTGGCCAAATACCTTTTCAAGCTCCAGAGCCTCAAAATAAAGGAGGCTTTCCTGTGAATTAGTGCAATAAGTTGCAGCAGCTGTTGGATTCTCCTTTTGCTCTGCTGCTGTCGTTTGTTTGCTTGCTTACATTTTGTTTATTTATAGTGGCAACTGGAAATGAGTGCAAACAAGCTATGTGTGCTTCGCATGCTGCATGCGCGGCAATGGGCGCGCCGTGCTGCCTTCTGGAGCTGCAGCCGCGCCAAGAGGCAGCTTATTTGCCTCTGCTGCTTCTTTGCTTCTGGCTTCGGCCGCTGTTTAGTTCTGCAAAACAAAAGGGCCACTCAGCTGAGCTGAAAGCCCTGCAGTGGCGCGGGAGGCGCTTGTTCCTCAGCAACAACTGCAAGTGAGGCCAGTGACGCACGAAGACACAGCAGCAGCAAATAGATGAACAGATCTTTACATGCAGCAAAAGCAGATTCAGATTTCGCTAGTATACGGTAAAAGGGCGTATTAGCCTCTGGAAGGCCTCAGGCAGGGGCAGTGTCCAGAAGCAAACTCAGCAGCAGCAGCCTCTGCTGCAGCACAATTTGCATTTAGCCAAGCAGGAGCAGCAGATAGTCTCAGCAGCAAGGGCAACCGCAGCACCGCCAGCAGCAGGACAGGCTGCAGCAGCGGGAAACTTCTGGATTAGTTTCTTCAATTTTTCTGCGGGTGGCGAGCGCTCGAGCGCTCCAGGGAGACTTAGGTTTTTTCTTGTTATTGAATTGCGGTGCTTTTCAATTGTGTCGCGCTGAAACAGAGTCATTTGCATTCAGCATAGGCTGAATTCATGTAATTTTCTCCAGATTCCGTCATGTTCTGCACCACTTGTATAGTTTTGTTTGCTTCCGTCTCGATTCCCGCGTTCAAACCCTCTTGTTTTCCCCTCCGAGAGGCTCAGCAGCCGCTACTGTCACTACTTGCTGCCTTTGCTTTCGCTTATTCTGCAAAGTTCTTCCATCCCATCTACCTGTTGCTACACTTTCTCGCTGTATATGCTGCTACTATTGGCCTTTTTGTTTTGTCTCTGTTGCTGCAGCTGCTGCATTGGACGCTGTTGCGGTGTGGCTGTGTGTTTCTCCTTCTGCATAGTAACTTTTGGAGACTTGCCTTAGGCCGCTGGCGTTGCTGCTGCTTCTGCTGCTGTTGTTGATGACGTTTCTCTTGAGGATGCTGGTGTTGCTGTTGTTGATGCTGCTGCTTTTGCGGTTTGTTTCGCAGCTTGCTACTTCTGTTGCTGGTGTTATTCCCTCTACTGTAGCTACTTCTCATGTTGCTGCAGTTGCACCTGCTGCTGCGGTGGTTGCAGCAGCTGCTGCTGCTGTGCTGGTGCCCACTGTTCAAGATCTGCCTGCTTGCAGCTGCAGTGGCCTGAGCGTGCCTCATGTGACTGGCATTTTTGCGTCTCCTTGATCACCTCAGTTGCTCCAATTTTTGAATTCGTTTGCTGCATTATCTTCATTGCAGTTGCCATATTAGTTATATTTCACAGCACAAACATCCAAAGGCCTCAGTGGCTCTTCAGGAAATCGGCAAATGGAATTTGTCAGGGAAAGTAGCAGCTGGTCCTTCGCTGTTTGTTCTCTTTCCTTCCTCTCCATTTCTGTCTTTTCTCTGATTGCTTTTATCTCAGATTCAATTTTTTCAGCCAGAGATGTTAAGGCATCGGCAGCGGACAACGAAACCGCAACGCACACCCCAGCTTGCTGCTGCTCCTGCTGCTGCTGCTGATCTTCACTTTGTTCTTCCTGTTGCTGCTTCTGCCGCTGATCTCCGCTTTGTTCATCCTGCTGCTGCGAACCCTGATCTTCTCGCTGTTCTTCCTGTTGCTGCTTCTGCTGCTGGGATTTCCACGGCTCTTCCTTCTGCTGCTCTAGCTGCTGCCTTACTATTTGCAGTGCATAATTGAGGTCTTTTAGTGCTTCCTCTGGCTGACCTTTGGCTGCCCACGCTGCACCTCTGCGGTAAACTAGCTTTGCGTAATTTGGCGTTTGCTGCAGCGCCTTTGAACAATCTGAAATGCATTCCGTATATTTCTTCAAGTAGAAATATGCAGCGGCGCGGTTGCCGTACAGCTGGCCCATGAGTGTCTCAGCTGCTGCTGCAGGTTCTCTTGCTGTGGTGCCCGTAGCAGCAGCAGCAGCAGCAGCAGCAGCAGGGACACTGCCCAGCTGCAAATAAGCACAAAAGCACAGCAGACAGGAGCCATTTGTCCTTTTTTCTGACTTTTGAATTGGGCTAGTTTTGGTGGGCTTGTAATAGAGGGACAAACAGCCGTCCTTAATTTCCATTTCTGAAAATGCCTCAGCTTTCTTCATTTAGTGTCTGTTTACTCCCGCGCTTTCGCATTCTTCTTTCTCTTGTGTTATATTTATTTGAATTGCCAAGTCTGCTGCTGCCCCTGTTCTGTCTTTATCTGTGTCAGTCTCTCTGTTGCTTTATCTCTATTCCCTTTTTGCCGCCTCACCCGAGCCAAGTATTCTTCAACTAGCTGCAGCACCTTCGTATATTCCTTAACAGCTGCTGCGTAGCGTTTTGCCCCGAAATTTCTATTGGCCGCTTCCTTAAGTGCTGCTAAATAGGCCAGCCAATCAGTAGGCCCTGCAGCAGATGAACTGGCCCTTGGGCCCCCACAGAGGCCCCCAGAGGCCCCCTCGGGGGCCCCCAATGGGGCCTTTTCAGGGCTACCAACTTTCCCGCTTGAGGGTACGGAGGCGCAGACGCGCATTCGAGGGGCCCCCGAGGAAGAATGGGCCCCGTTGCGCGACCCCCTGGCGACTTGCTGCAGCAGCAAGCAGACAGACGTGAAGTAGTATTATAAATGTATATTTTACAAACGCATTGTGAATGCTTTGTTGCTTAAGGGTGTATTAAAGAGTTGCTGGCGCCCATAGGCAAAGCAGCAAACGTATGGGGGCCCTAGAAGTGTGCGTATTAGACTGGCTCTGGAATAAATGATAGTTGCTCAGTGGATGGCTGCCCAGTGTCTAGACAGCACAACTCATTGCGGCCAGCAGTTCGTGAGTCCCCTGCATGCAGCTGCAGAGCTTAATTTTATAAAATGTGCTTCAGAGCCCTGTGGCTTTGCCCTACGGGATGAGCTTTCTGCACTTTCTGCTGGCTTTTTGCCAGGGGGCCCCCTTTGGGGGCCTCTTCTTCTTCTTCCTTGTCAGGGTCGAAGGCATCCCAGGCCTTGTAATACTCTGGCAGTGAATTGAGATCTCTTGCGTATTTTCGTCTGTTTGCTGCAGCATTAGAAGCTTGCTGCTGCTGCTGCTCTGGCTGCTGCTGCTGCTCTTGTTGCTTCTGCTTCGCTTGCTGCTGCTGCTTGCTAGACTGTCCGGTCTCGCTCGTTTCTGGTTGCTGTGATGCTTCTGAAGCTTCATATTTTGTTTGCTTTTTTGATTTTTCTTCTTTCGAAAAACTCTCCTCCCATTCTCTCAAGTCCGATAAATAAGCGCGCACTTCCTCCGCGTTGCGGCGGATCTGCGCCTGTACAGCTAGCGACATTCTTTGCCCGCTGCTGCTGCTGCTGCGTGCTGTCTTTGTTGCTGCTGGCAGCAGCTGTTGCTGCTTTTGCTGCCAGCTGCCTTTCCTCAGAACAGCTGTAGCTGTTACCCTTGCTGGCTGCAGTTATAGTTGACGCTCCTGTTGGCTGTCGCTGCTGCTGTCGCTGCTTTAGCCGGTGGTATTGTTAGCGTTGCTGCGTCGCTGCTGGTGCTGCCGCTGTTGCTGCGTTGCTGCTGCTGCTGCTGCTGGCTGCTGCTCCAGTTGCTCTTGCTCTACTGCTTCATCACAACTAAGTCTACGTAGTGCGTTCCAAGAATATTGAGTTTCATAGCACACTAAGGTGCTTATAAAGCGCAAAAACTTTACAAACGCCGCAGGGAAGCTGACAGTTATATATGGTTCAAGCTTTGCACTTGACGTCCTTGTCTACTAGGGAAAGAAATCGTGGCTGTGTTAGTGCGCAACGCCCGTTTGGTGTCTATATATCTGTTTAGCTGCAAATAAAGCAGGCATTTAAAGAGAAGCTTGAACTATGGCGGCTCAATTCCCGTGCGATTTGAGCACCTTTGTCTTGTTCGCTCTAATCTGTGTTCCACGAAGTGACCATTGCGTGCTCTGCTCTCTGCCGCGTTCACATATAATTCAAATGGAAGCCTGAAGCCTTAAACTGCAGAAAATTATGGAGAAAAACATGAAGAGAGGGGCGGATTGTCGCAGCAGAGAGCCTGGAACGGTCATGCATACATTAACGACCCGTGAGGAGGCGTGAGTGATGGGCTCGCAGGAAAAACGAGGCAAGAACTTCGCAGAAGACCAACACAGTGATGTGAAAGGGAAAAAATATATTTTTAGATAGTTTTAAGGGGTATTTTATGAAGAAGAAAAGATCTTCTGGGGCTTTTCCTTGGTGGGTCATCAAGCGAACAGGGGCCCCCAACCTCTCAGGCTGAACGCAAAGGACTGTGTGTACACAGCATAATGGGTATCAGTAAGAACAAACGTGGGATTTGACGGTTAGTATTGTGTAACTGAAAGAATCTTGCACCAGTCTTGCGGCTTTCGAGTCATCAGAGCTCCTGCGGAGGCTAGTTTACGTTTTCTTCCCGGAAGTGTCTCGCCTGAAGCCGATGTATTTCATTGTAGAACTGCGGTTCTTTTGCCTTTTAGAGAGCTAATAAGCTGGCGACAGGCTCACATTCCGCGGGTGCCTCCTATCCTCTTTGGAAGCAAAAAGGTTGCTTAGCGTTTAGCGCGCGCTGACTGATTGACCTTCGTTTACTTTCTCGCCCGACAAGAAGATCCGAGGCGGCAAGCAATCCAGCAGATCTTCCGTATATCCTTATCTCCACGCACTGCCTGCAGCAAAGCTTCCCGAACAGCAGGGGGCCTCTGCAAACCGAAAGAGCAATGCAGCCTCATGACAGAGCCCACCCGTTTGACGTGCGCGGTTTCTCAGCCCTTCGCTCCAACGACGGGGGGCCCCCCGGCATTTCAGGGGCCCCCCGAGCCCCTGGGGCCCCTGGGGTCCCGGTGGCCCTGGGTGGCCGTCCCCCAGTGCCCGACGCGTTTTGCTGCGTCCACCCGCTGGCCCTTGAGCAGCCGCAGCAGCAGGGCAGCGGCGACTGGCGGCTGCGGGCCACCAGCAAAGCCATTCGTTCGGACTCGGACTTGCGCCGCTGGCTTTCCTCTTCGACGCATTCGCAGTTTCTGGCTTTCGTGGGGCGGCTGGCGAAGCACGCGGCCGGGAAGAAGTCCCTGCCCAGTTTGCTGCGGGCGGATGTGGCAAATTGGAAGATAACAGAATCAGCAGTGGCTGCGCCAGGGCCTGCGGGGCAGGCCCAGGCTGCGGGAGCTTCAGCTGCTGCGCCTGCTGCCTCGGCCTGTGACGGCTTGGGGTCTCGAATTCGCACTTTTGTGCCCTTTGGAGAACTCCCAGCCAACAACGTCTGCTGGGCAATGCTGCGAGTGCTGCAGCAGCTGCTGCAGTGGGTGCAAGACATACCCCCAGTCGAACAGCCCACGCGTTTCGGCAATCAGGCTTTCAAAACTTGGTGCAGAAAGCTCGAGGAGGTGAGACGAGGAAGTCTTACTGGCTGCTGCAGAGAAGTTTTATGGCCTTAGTTGAAACAGGATTGAGGTTGGGGCTTGCGGTGCTGCGCACTCAATGAACTACAAGCACTCATAGTGAAACGCAGTGCAGCAACTTAGCCACGTCATTTCGGTAACTTGGCAATCGCCAACAGATTCACGCAGAAATTAGTGTTCAAATTCTCACAAAAGGTCTAATCTGTGTATTTTCATATTCAATTTCGAGTAAGTAACTGTGTATGAGCGAAAAATCGACCCTGCTGCATTTCACTCACATTGAAATAGAGATTTGCCCTTGAATGAAGTAACAGCGCCCGAAATGGGGGCGGGAGACTCGACAGAATTGCGAACATGAACTGACTCTATAATTGTAGAATGAATTTGGCATTTAAGGCACTGCATTATGCAGAATGAATTCGTGTTTCAGGAGGCTTTGGATTTGTTGGCGCCCGTGTGGACTTCAAGCGGAACTGAAATATCGGAAACTGCGAAAATGGAATTGACAGATATATTCTGCTCGTCTTTTGGAAATCCAGTTCGTCTGGACTTCGGGACAGGACACGAGTGCTCGTTTGCTATCTTTCTTTTTTGCCTATTTAAATTAAAGTTGCTCGAGGAGGATACGCACGACCCCTTCGCCGTCTTAGGCATATTCAAAGGGTTTGTTCTAGCCATCTCGTTCTGCCGCTTGATGTGCATGTTTCATTGTCTTTCTATTTTTTTACCACTCTCCATCTCCTCCGGAATCAGCTTTATGTATATTTGCTTGTCTTCCTATCTTTACCATTCTCCGTCTCTTTCTGAATGTGCCATGTGCCTCATTTTCATTCCATCCCGGCCGTGGTGGGCCTTCCTCGTATCAACTTGCTTCCTTGCTCGACGTAGATGCCTGCTGCTTGTAGTTGGATCTGTTTTCCCGTTTTTCTTTGCTTCGATGTTGTGTTGCTGCATTTTTTACTACTTGCTTGCCGACTTGTTGACTACTGGACTGCTGCTCGGGTCATTGCGTCTTTTGTGTTGTTGAAACGAATTGTCATTGCCTGTGCGCAGGTATGTAGAGGTGGCTCATGCCCTGCAACAGCGCTACATGCTGGAGGCCGCTGGAAGCAGAGGCGTTTGGGGTTTGGATGATTTCCACTTCCTGACTTTTCTCTGGGGCGCCGGCCAGCTGTCCGAGCAGCAGATCATAGAGCCAGATCAGGTGAGAACCCTATTTATTGTCGACAAGGCCTGTAAATTGTAAATCACAGCGTCTGCCTTCATTCAGAGGGGCCATCACAAGGAGATTTGCATGTGTGTCCGTGCAGATAACTGAGCGAGACTTGGTCCAGCAACTCGCCCCGGATTTGTTGTATTTTGACTCCATACAATACGTGCTGCAGGTGAGAGGCAGCAGCAGGAGAGTCAAGGAAGTGAACAAAAGAATTCACTGCTGCGACACCTAAGCACCGAACCGTAGGCAACTATGCTGCACTTGGGAGTGCATGCACCCAATCTTTAGAATTCTTCATATCACCACTTTTTATCATTTCGTCGCATTCGTTTTGTGCAGACAAAGAAGGGAGCACCCTTTTTCGAGTGTTCGCCCATCCTGTACGACGTCAGCGGCATCAGCAGCTGGTGAGTGATGAGCGGAGACACATAGATGAATGCACCAAAATCTGCAGCTGCTGTCCCTAACAGGCATATATTACTTTTGTTTCTATACCGTTATATGTTTATATTTAGGCCTGTATACAGACATATATGTGTTTTACATGCATATTTTGAAGGTGTTGCAGCAATGCATTATATGAATAAATGAACATAGTTGTTATTTCCAGTGTAAATACGTACACGGGCACAGACAATTGCAAAATCTTGATGCAGCAGGGTCAGAAATGAACCGGTGCTGGTTCATTTATAAATACAGTTTCAGGGCTTGCATATGGTTCAGTTTTGTCTTCATGTATTGCGGCACCAGGTCTCAAAGATAAGGCTTTCTCAGAACCTTCCATATGCACTTACATATACATGTTCGTTATTTGCATATATATTTCCATTCGTCTGTTTGTGAATAATTTTGTCTCAGGAAAAAGATCTGCGCGGGTTTAATCCGCATGTACGAGGGCGAAGTTTTATGTAAACTGCCCATCGTGCAACACTTCCTCTTTGGCACTGTATTTCCACTGACTAAGTAAATCTTAATTAGACTCGAAAGTAAACAAAGGCTACCAGGCATGAATACATGCACGCAAATATGCACAAGTGGGGGACAAAGGCTTTCTGGTCCTCCTTATTCACATCTTTTTTTATCGCCTTCTAATGGCTAGTCAGCCATCTAATCATGTTCGCATTGTTTGCGCTTGAACGAGACTACAAGAGGCAACAATGCAGTTATGCTGCACAAAAGGCAAGCAGATTTTTCACTCTTTGGACACATCGGTTCACAAACCTCAATTTCCTTTATATTTTCTTTCTTGGGTGCGGTGATCTGCGTGTGTGTGCCGCATTGTACACCCTTCCTCCTTTTCTCATGCCTGTCACTTCTTTGTTTTTGTATTTCCTCGCTGTGTGTGTTTGCGCCTTCTTTTTCCACTCCAATTAGCGGCTTCCGTTTATCTGAGCATCACTGTAGCTCTGTGGGTTTCTGGCTTTGTATTGAGCTCTGATGGTTTTCCAAATGAAGGAAGGAGGAAAGGCTAGACGGAGTTTTAGTCTGTAAATACCGAAATCCAGTCAGTTTCGATGATGCTTGTCGTAACAAGAAAATATGAAGGCCGTTTCAGCAGCTGCCAAGGAGACGCGGGGCGGTGAGGAGACGCCCGCAAAACGTGACAAGTTTGAAAGATGCTTCGAAAGACCATTCTATGTTTGTCATAGTTTTGGCAGTGAAATATTTAAAAATGCATTTAAGGCCAGAGATTCGCCCACCCAGAGCGTTGGAAGGCAGAGCAAGTCGCATGCGTCAGTCAGAGGCACCAGTGGAGCCTTGGGGGACCTGCGCAACTTGCGGACGAGTTCACTGAAATATATGATCCTGATGAAGTTTATTAGAGGATTTTCGAATTCAAAAAAGAGTAAATTAGAAGATCACTGTTGTTTTGTGAGTGTTTGCCGTTATTGAAGAGCTCCAACGATGCCCACTCAGTTGACACGTACAGCGCGAAAGGCTGAAAAGTATGTAGGGAAAATTTCAGAAACCCCTTGGCCACAAGATTGAATGTTTTGCAATATTTGAACTGCTTGTTTGTGCTGTAAAACTGAGTGCTTTTGCCACCAGTTACCCTCGTGTGCGCCTCGAAGTGACCCTGTGCATGCGAGTTGCGATCCTCTGTTTGGCAACTGAGAGTCCCCGTCCTTCTTTGAGATTGTTAATAAGCTGGGCAAACTTTCTCACGAGTAGCATTGTCTAATGGGCCGCAGTTATAGTGGAATTAAAAATGCAGGAAATGCAACACAGGGAAGCTCCGAGGCGTTCTACAAGCCCTGCCACCCCTCAGCCTGCGAGCCTTTCCTTAAAAGTTCCGAAGCCCCCGCTTCTTTACCTCAAGAAGGAACACGAAAGGATGGGCCCATTGAAGTGTGGCCTTTCCCTTTGGTCTTCGAGGGCTGCCAGCCCGGCGCGTGGCACCGCCGCCACGTGCGTTTGACCAACAAAAGCGACATAGAGGAAACGCTCTCTGTCACTGCATCCAATCCGTCCTTGATATTTGTTCATAAGGAAGAGCTCAAACTGCCACCTGGTGGCTCAGTCTTCATACCAGTGATCACTCGACTGCTGCCGGGGGATAGCAGCGCGGGCGAAGCCTCACCTGCCGGCCCAGGACCAGCTCACGTTTTGCAGGAAAGCATAGCTATAAGATCCTTAAAGTGCAGTCTAAAGCTCCCAGTTATTATTTATCACGAGTTACTACCAAAAGCCCCAACAATCTCGGACACAAGGCGGGGAGATGCCTCGAAGTTTCCTGAATGCTCCAGCAGTCAGCAGCCAGCGACCTGGCCCGAAGCCGTGCCCCTAAGCAGCTGCCGCTTTCCTGCTGCTGTCCGCTCCGCCTCTTCAGGTGGCCGCTGCTGCCTTGGCCGTAGGCCTGCGTGTGCGAGACGGGAAAGAAGCGACAGCGCCACACCATCTTGCTGCATGCCTTTGAGAGGGCCAGTTTCTTCAGTTTCTGCAGAAGGAGAGCAGCGCAGCTGGTCCTCTGCTGCTCCCTCTTGGGGCCCTTCCCCTCTTCTCACTTCATCTCACCAGACGCAACAGCCGCAGCAGCAAACAGCAGTCAGCCCAGCACTGTGGGCCTGGCGGCTTCGCCTAGAAAGCCCCAGGCGCTCACGCGCGCTGCCTTCTTTTTCTGTTCCATCTTCAGGTTCGAGGCAACACTCTCCAGATCGCTGCAGCAACGGCAACTGCAACAGTAGCAGCAGCAGCAGTAGTAGTAGTAGTAGTAGTAGCAGCAGCAGCAGCAACAGAAAAGCTCCTCCGCTGGAACTACTAACACTTGACACGCTCTCCTCCGCTGCTTCCTCTCTTGACCCACACAGCAGCAGGTTGGATGGACGTGCAAAGGGCACTGCAAATGGTACGGAAGCCACAGGGGTCAGAGGCCACCAGGCCAGTGGCGAAAATGCTGCAGCAAAAGGAGCAACGAACGACAGCAAAATTCAAGAACCCACAGAACGGCTTTCAGAGGAGGGAAGCACCACTGCTGCTGCTGAAGGGTCCACAACAGGGTCGAGTGTGAGGAAAGAGGCGAGCCAACCACCGCATGCACAGCAGCAGCAGGCACAAACCCCAGCAGCTACTGCTACGCCAACTGAAGCAGTTAGTGCCACCTTGAATGCGAAAACAACGCAAACTGCTGCAGAGACAGAAGCAGCAGCAGCCTCGGCAGCGGTGGCACGCCTTCAAGCGGAAAATTTGCTGCTGCAGGAGGCCCTGCAGCGCAGCAGAGAGGAAATAGAAGCCCTTGAGTTGCTCGGAGAGATGCAGCAAAATGCACGTCAGGCTCTGCAGCAGCAGCAGCAACAACAACAACAGCAAACGCAGACTCAAATTCACGTCACTGAAGACTGGCAACGGCAGCAGCGACTCCTACCACAGGACGGAGGATCTCAGGGTCTAGCTGAGCAGAAGCTGCTAAATCAACAGCAACACCAGCAGCAGCAGCAACATCCAGAGCCCCAGCCACAGCCACGCGCTCAGCAACAGCCACCGCAGCAGCCACAGCCTCAGCAACAGCGACAGCCACAACATCCGCCAGAGCAGTCACACGTGCAGTGCGGGTCGCAGCGGCAGCTGCAGCAGCAGCAACAGCCTCAGCAACAGCAACTGCATCAGCAGCTGCCCCTTCAGAAGCAAGAGCCGCAGCAGCTGCTTCGTGGAGAGTCGCTGCTACCTACCGAACTGACAGTAGATGAAAAACAGCTGTTCATGAACAGCAGCGAAGAGGAAACATTGAAATCATTTTTAGAGGAAATGTACCCTTTCAAGCAGCAGAAAGAAATTCTCGATAAGACGAGCATGGATCAGACAGATATTCAAGTTTGCAGCAGCAGCAACAGCAGCAGCATCAGCAGCTACATCAAGAGCAGCAATACCTGCTGCAAGTCGGTACAGACGGAGCAGAAAAGCGTGTTGGATGAGCTGCGGAAGCAACACGAAGCAGCAGAGCGGCAGCAAGAAGAACTACAGACTCTTAAGATTGCATTTGCTGCGGCACAAGTGCAGCACGAGCAGCAGCGGGAGTTGCTTCAGCGCAAAGCTGATGCAGCAGACGCAGCGGCAAAAGAAGCAGCAGCCGAAGCAGCAGCAGCCCAAGAACGGGTGAAGCGATTACTTCTGCGTCTAGAGGAGCAGCAGCAGCAATCTGCTGCTGCTGCTCGGACTGCTGCCGCGCAGTGTGCTGACCTCTCCCGCCGCCTTGAGGCCGCGCAGCACCGCGAGCAGCAGGTGAAAGATCAAATTGTTTCAGCTCAAAAGTGCCTCCGCTTCCTTTCTTCTTTGCAGCGAAGACATGCAGCATCAGCAGCAAAGATGCACCACGGCAGGCGCAACCGGGGCAGCGCGCGACAGCACACATACGCGAGCAACAGCAGCAGCTGCAGCAGCTGCAGCAGCTGCAGCAGCGAGGATGGCAGCAGCTCCCCTCAGTACGCGTTTCCGCATGCAGCTGAGCAGCAGCAGACACAGCGGCAAATGGCTCCTCGAGCATTTTGCGCGTTGGAGGTCCCTGCTGAGATTCAGCAACTGATGGACTCTCTAGAGAGTCCAGCTGAGACAGCAGCAGCAACAGCAGCAGCAGCAACAGAAGCTACAGTAGCAACAGCAGCGCACGATGTTGCTGCTGGAAAGGCCATGCCAGACAGGGTCTGCCAACTGGCCCGGGACGGAGTGCGTTTGCCTACTTCAGATTACTATTGCTTAACAACTCAGTCTGCACGTGGCCAGCAGCAACAGCAGCAGAAGCAGCAGCAACAACAACAGTTCCGGGCCGTTGGGGAGTCCTTTGCTCTTGTTCGCAAGAAGGACGGCTGCTGCTGCAGCAGCAGCAGCCGCCGCAGCAAGTGCTGCTGCAGCTGCCGTTCCAGCTGCTGGGAGCTGCAGCGGAGATTGGGTGAAGCTACGGCCTCTCTTATAGTTAAGACGCAGCTTCTAGCAGTTAAGGAAGCTGCTTTCAAGGAGATGCAGCAGCAGGCAGCCGAAAAAGCAGCAGCAGCAGCAGCAGCAGAAGCTGCAGCAGCAACCGCTGAGAAAAAGCTGCTTTGCTCTTTGTCACGAAATATATCAATGCACGTGCAGTTCAACGCTGCTACTGCAGCGCAGCAGGAGCAACGTGCAGCGGCAGCGGCTGCTGCAGCAGCAGCAGATGAGCTGCGGCAGTCCAACCAGCAGCTGCAGCTCTACGTAGAAGTAATCAGCAGCGAGAGAGACATTTGGAAGCAGCAGCTGCAGCAGCACATACAGCAGAAACACGAAAAGGTAAGGAAGATACAGCGGCAGCAAATGCAAATGCTTGAAGCACAAGGGCACTGCACAACTACCCAGCAGCAGCAGCAGCAGCAGCAGGGCGATGACGAGCAGCAAATTTGTCGCTGCAGAGCCAGCTACTCGGAGCTTCCAGATGCAGCAAATAGCGTTGAAGCAACAGAAATAGCAGCAGCAACGGCAGCAACAGCAGCAACAGCTGCCACAGCTGAAACTGACCCTTTAGTCTGCGCTGTGCTGCAACTGGTGAATGGCATTGAGTGCTTGAAAAGAGAAATAATAATTGTGAAGGCAGATACAACAAAGGCGAACACAACAGACACGCGGAGCTCAGCAGACAACTCAAGCACAGCAGCAGGAGCAGCAGCAGCAGCCGCAGAAGCAAACACAACAGCAGCAGGAGATCCTCTGCAGCAGTTGGCAGCAGCACAACCTGCAGCGGGGACTGTGTGGCGCTGGCCCACCGGTGAGCAGAAGCCACCACTGAGCAGCAGCAGCAGCAGCAGCAGCAACAGCGCAGAGCCAAGAGTGGGTGAATCTGCGGGCTTGCGGGACCGGGGGGAGCTGGTGCTGCAGCAGCTGTGCATTTCTTTGCTGTGCATTTGCCGCCGTTTGTCTTTGAGCCGCCAAATAGAAGAAGCAAGCAGCAAAAAGAACAAAGAGTTAGTTGAAAGAATGAAAAAAGAGATTTCCAAAAGAGTGGCGGCGCAAACAAAGGCAGCAAATCTATCAGCTCAGGTCCACGCTTTGGAAAGAAAAGTGCGTCTTGTCTGTTATCTTTCTCACTCTGTTGCTCCTTTTGTTTCCTTTTTGTTTCTTTTCTTTTCCCCTTTTTTATAATTCCTTTTTCAGTTCCCAATTCACTTTCCTCAGCTTCCACCCGCAGCCCTGCGCTCACTCGTTGTCTGTGTTTTGGCCCTTGTGTGCAGATTTGTGCTTTTGCTGCTCTTTTTAGCTCTTTTTGTTTCTTTTTTCTCTTTTCTTTTGTTGCTGCACGCTTGGCCCCTTTTAGCTCTTTTTGTTTCTTTCTTCTTCTTTCTTTTGTTGCTGCACGCTTGGCTCCCGACTTTTTGCAAGCTCGCTTCGTTTTTCCTCTCTTGCCTCGTCTTTTGCTCCTCTTCGGTTGTTTGTTTTGTTATTACCTGTTGTTTACCTCTTCTTTTCCTTGTCTCTTTTTGCTTGGTTCTTTGTGCTCTTCTTCCCTTTTCCTTTGTCTCTACTGTTTCTCTCTGCTCCCTCGTGCTGCAGAAGCAGGTGTCTGCATGACTCAGGGACCTGCTGCTGCTGCAGCTGTTGCTGCGGTTGTCGCTGCTGCTGCTGCAGTTCTCTGTGCTGGAACGCTGTGCAGCGGCGGACGCTGCTCGAGCTGCAGCAGACCTTCAGAAACAGCAGAGTTTGCTGCAGCGTGAGAAGCAACAGACTCTCTTGGCCCTGTACGCGAGAGAACAGCAACAACAACTGTTGCTGTCCCAGCACTATTCTCTGTCCCGTGAGGTTTCCCGGCTCCGAGGAGCCCTGCGCAAAGCGTTGGGGGGTGCCCGGCAGGAAGCAGCAGCAGCTGCTGCAGCAGCAGAGAACGCTGTCTTTCAGCAGCTGTCGCAGTGGCGAGAGTCCCTAGTCAAAACGACAGTTGAAGCAGCACAGAGCTGCTGCGCCTTCCCGTGCAGCAGCAGCAGCGGCACAACCGCCGCCACCTGCACCACAGCTTGCAGCAGCAGTGGCAGCAGCAGAAGCAGAAGCAGCAGCACAAGCAGCAGCAGCAGCAGGGGCCTGAAATGCCTCTCAAAGCCCATAGGGGCTTCCCAGAGAGCAGCAAGGGCCCAAGAAGGCCTCGCCCGGCGGCTGGCAGCTTCCGAATTGGCTCTGCTGGAGCTAACGGAGGCGCTCAGCCAAGCAGAGCTCCGGCTGGCCTTTGGGGGCCCCCCTGCAGGGAAGGGGGGCCCCCAAGAAGCAGCTGGGAGGGGGCCCCCTGAGGGGCCCCCTGGAGGGGAGGCGGAGGGGCCCAGCGAGGCGGCACAGCGAAGTGTCGGCGCGAACGCAGGACAGCTGCGGGGTGAGAAACGGTGAACGAAAAGTTCAGCAAAAATGCCCCGCAAAGTAAACACAAAGCAACATATTAGCCAAAGAAAAGATAATAGATTAAATATAATATATATCTATATACATATCTATATATTATATTATTTAACAGCCGCCATTAATTCAGAGTGCATGAGCAGGAAAGTGAATGCGGGGTGAAACAGATAGATCTAATGGCTCTATTACAAACGAGGAGTCTGCTAGCTCTAAAGTCAATGGGCAGTTGATTCTGATTTGCAGCATTTTAAATATATTTAAAAACGAAGCAAAGAGCAATGCAATTAAAAGAACAAAAAATGGCAAAGTTTCCACTTATCCTGTTTGTCTTAGCTTCAAACTGCAGCCACTTCTGTCTTTTTCTCAATTCTGAATCCATCTCAATCACTTGCATCAATTTGTCTCAGCCTCAGCTCCCTGAGGAAAAAAGTTCAAACAGATTCCCCTATTTTCGAAGAAACGGTTCTATTTGCGAAAATATTATTTTACTTTCATGAATATTAATAAAGATAATTGGCTTTCTGGCCTTCTGAACTCTATAGCCGAATGAACTGGCGGGCTGATGTGCTGCTGATCTGAACAGCAGTCATGTTTGCAAAGTATTTCAGACCAGTGGCTGCCTGATGGCTTTAAATGTTCATTTGTTTTGTGCATTGTTTATTTCTTAATTTATTTGCCCGTTTGTCTCTTGTTTTGTCCTTATTGGCGAGCAGCAGCGCCTGGAAATTGCTTTCTTGCAGGGCAAACGGAGCCTTTACATATATACGCAGCGTCAAAGGCCAGCAACGGCTGCAGCAGCTGCTGCAGCGATGCAGCAGCGCCTCAGTCTCAGCATGGCCGCTTCAGCAGCACGTGCTGCTGGTGCTGCAGCGACGCCAGCAACAGCAGCAGCAGCAACAGGAGCTGCAGCTGCGGCTGCAGCTGCTGTTACGGCCAAGATGGCAGTACGTCCGTGCAGCTGCTGAACCAGCAGCAGCAACAGCTGCTTGCTGCGTACGCAGCACAGAAGCAACAGCTGCAGCAAGCCAGAGGGGCTCTGCAACGGTCAGAGGCAGAAATGCAGCGGCTGAAAGACAATTTGCTGCTGCTGCAGCAATTCAAAGCTTGCAAAGATGAAACCGCGCTAAGGGCACAAACAGCAGAAGTGGAAGCAGACGCACTCAGCTACAGACTCACATACCTGCAGGTAACAGCAGCAGCCTCAGTCTCAGCAGCAGCAGCAGTAGCAGCAGCAGCAATGGCAGTAGCGGGAACAACAATAACAGCAGCAACAGCAGTAGCGGGAACAGCAATAACAGCAGCAGCAGCAGCAGGGGCCAGCTGGAAAAGCGCTGAGTTCCAGGTGCATCTAGCGAGAACAAAACAACAGAATACTGACTACTGAGACAGCTTTTGCTGCGGCTGCTGTTGTTGCTGCTGTAGGAAGCAGTGGACAGGGAGCGGCAGCAGTGGGCCCAGGAGCTGCTGCTGCTGCAGCAGACGCAGCATTCAGTTCTGCTGCAGCGCGTTGCTGCTGAGAAGAAGGGGCTGTATGGGGCGCTAAGGGAGGCGGAGGCAGCAGCAGCAGCAGCGCAGCAGCAGCTGCAGCAGCAGCAGTCCGCAGCAAGCGCGCTGCAGCAACAGGTGCTGCTGCTGCAGCGAGATGCAGCAGCACGCATGCACACTGCCGAGCAGCTGCTTCGAATCTTCACGCATGCAAAAGCAAATGAAACTGACGGTCTCGGCGCTTTGCTTTGCAAAGACACTAAAGAGTTGACGGGAGCAAAAGTGAATGTGCGTTTTTCTTGATGTTGGTTTCTGCCTTCGTGTTTGAATTTCTTTTTCTCCCTTTGATTCCTATTCTAATCAAGTTTTACTTGTTCAGTTTTGTTTCTTCTATTTAAATTTTTGTGTTTGCTTTTGCCTCTCAGTCTTGAATTTTCTGATTCCCTGTGCGTTCTGTCTTTCCTTACTTCGTTCATCTTTGCCTGTCTGTTCAATTTGTTCAGTTGTTCGTCCACTTATTTGTTTTTTGTTCTTTTTTTTCGTTTTTTCCCTTTATTGTTTCATATTTATTATTTTTTTTATTTTCTGTTTGTTTGTCTGCTTCTCACTAGCCCATTCGTCTTCTTACGTAGCTGTTTACAAGTATTTGGCTGTGCCGTTTTCTGGCTTGTGTTTATTCTGTTCCTCCGAATTCCGTTTTTGGCTTTTTGCCACTAAGAAGTGCATGCTTGGCATTTCCTGATGCTGAGCTGTCTCAGTTTGTTGCTGCTGTTGCTGTTGCTGTTGCTGCTGCTGCTGCTGTCGCTGCGCTGCTATGCGCCAACAGGTGACTGCAGCCTCCGCGCATGGCTTATTGCAGCTCTTTCTTTCTCTTATAATTGAAGTGAGGATGCTGGAGCCGTCGCTGCTGCTGCTGCTGCAGCTGCTGTATTCCTTGTAGTTACTTTATTATGAGTAGCTTATAGTACAAAGAAGAAGGGGCAGCTACTGTCTGCTGCTTCTTTGTTTCTGTTTTTATTTGAATTGTTGTTTATTCTATTTGCCTTATTTCAGCTCTTGTTGCCTCAGCCTCCTGCTGCTGCTTTGGGGCACCTACTGTGCCGTTTGGTTCTCACATTTACTCTCAAGTTTTGAAACATATTTGCATTTCTGCTGCTGTTTGTTGCACTAGATGCCCCTGCTTCTGAATCTTCATGGGTTTTGCTGCCTCAGCTTTGCCTTCGCGTTGCATTCCTCGAGAAGCAGCAGCAAGCGGCTCTGCAAACTCTGCCACGACTCCAGCAGCAGCAGGAAGAGCAGCAGCAGCAACAGCAGCAGCTCCTGCAGCGAAAGCAACAAAAATCTCAGCAACCGCAAGAGAGCCTCAGGAGTCGAGCCTTGATGAAGGACTCCCTCATAGCCTACAGGCTACTTCTAGGGGCTTTCATGCATCAACTGCTGCAGCAACAGCAGCAGCAGCAACAGCAGCTGCAGCAACAGCAACAGCAACAACAGGGACAGCAGCAGCAACAGCAGCAACAACAGCGCGCGCAACAACAGGAAATTATCACGTCTCTCTCTGACACCTTCGGGAAGGGCCGCACAGCCGCAAGAACAGCAGTGGCACTTGCTGCGCCTGCTGCTGCTTCCCCTGCAGCAGCAGAAGCAAGTTGTGCTGCTGCTGTTGCCACTCCTGCGGCTGCTGCAGCTGCTCAGCTGCTGGAAAACGGGTTCCTCTCCCTTCAAGCAGCTGCCCCACAGTGGCGCAACAGCTGCGGCAAATGTTTGGGCAACGGTTTGCTGTCTGCTGCTGCTGCTGCTGCTGCTGCTGCATCGTCTGGCCCGCGGCGACAGCTGCGGCCTCGAGCAGCAGAGGAGAAAGCAATCCGTTTGTTGCAGCAAATCAGATCTCTCGGGGGTCCACTGTTCTTTATTGCAGCTGCGCAGCAGAGGCTTGCTGCGCTGCTGCAGCTAATGGGGACTTCATTTGGCTTTCGCGGGCCGCCCCCTACTGTTGCTGCTGCTGCAGCAAGACACGAATTCCCTAACGAAGCAGTGGCAGCAGCAGATGCAGCAGCAGCAGCAGCAGCAATGAACAAAGAGGATGCAGCTGAGTGCTCGCTGCTGCTGCGCGAACTGGAAAGCTCAGCAGCAGCAGCAGCAACAACACTTGAGCATGCGCAGGCGCTGGCCCTTTCCCTCTCCGACTCTGTAGTATCTTTATTTGGGACTCTACAGGAAGACACAGCAGCTGAGCTGCCGACTGCAGGAGCAGCAGCTACAGCAACAGCAGCAGGAGGAGCAGCAGAAAGTGCAGAAGCGCCGTTTTTCCTTGAGATGGCAGGAACAGCTAGAGCTCCAGCAGAAGCAGCAGCGACAGCAGCGGCAGCAGCGCCAACAGCAGCAACAGCTGCTGCAGTTGAGCCATCATCGGTGGAAACAGCGACAGCGCCACCAGCAGCAGCAGCAACGGCGCCACCGTTCGCAGCAACAGCGCTACCACCAGCAGCAACAGCAGCAACAGCAGCAACAGCAGCAGCTGCTGCATCTCGGGGAGACGTCGGAAGCCACGCAAGGGAACCCGTGGGTTCCAACGGATTCAGGCGTAGCTCCTGCAGAATCGCTGCAGGAGCCATGCGCAGCTCCTCTCAGGGTGCAGCAGGAGCAGCAGCTGCAGCTGCTGCAGCAGCTGCAGCAGGTGCAGCAGCCGCAGCAGTAGCGGCACCCACCCCTGCTGCTGCCTCAGCAGCACCAGCAGCAGCAGAAGCGGCAGCCCATGAGTCCGAAAGCCCTGCAATTAAGGGCCCCCAAGATGCACTTCAAAGTCCAAAGATGGCAGGGGGGCCCCCTGGGTTTGAGGGGCCCCCAGATCTCGAAGAGTCCCAGAAAGGCTTTGACGCTGCTGCTTGCTGCAGAATTGGAAATGAATTAAGCATTAGAGGAGAAGAAGCAGCAAATGAAAAAAAAGAAAACAAAGAAATAAAATGCAGAAATCCAAAATTCAACGATGAGGCATCTTGCGTTACAAGTGTACCGACAACAGCAAACAGGAGCGACGCGCCACAGCAGCAAACAGTGCAACAGACGTCCCATTTGCTGCCGCAAAGAAAACAGCAAAAGCAGAAGCAGCAGCAGCAGCAGCAGCAGCCGTACATGCAACGGCAGCATATGCAACAGCAACGCGTGCAACTGAAGCAACAGCTACTGTACCAGCAGTCCTGTCAGCAGTTGCTGCAGCAGCAGCAGCAGCAGCTGCTGCACCAAAAAAGGCTGCAGCAGCAACTGCAGCAGCAACTTCGCCCTTACAGAAACCAGCAGCAGCAGCAGCGCCAAATTCAACAACAAGTGCAGCAGCAGCCGCTACAGGCGCAGCAGCAACGGCAGCTTCACCACTGCCGGCAGCAGCAGCAGGAACACCAACGGTCAGAGGCCATTCGCAGTCAATCAACTACAATTGTAGCAGCCACAGCAGCAGCGGGTAATGCAGCAGCAGTACAGGCAGCAGCAGCAGCAGTTCAAGGATCCCCCTATTCACATTTTGTCTGTCCTGAAGAGTTTAATGCTGTGAGAGGAGATTTATGCCACTCAACAATGGCGTTTAGAAAAGCATGCGCTGCTGCTAATGCTGGAGAGCAGCAGCAACAACAGCAACAGCAGCATCAACAGCAGCAAATGTTGCAGCAGCGGCAGCTGCAGCAGCAGCAGCAGCAGCTTCGTGCAGCAGCTGCTGTCACGCAGCAGCAGCAGAAGCAGCTGCAGAATAGCTGCACCTTTTCTCAGCAGCAGAAATCGCAGCAACTGCAGCAGCGGCAGCTGCTACAGCAGCAGCTGCAGAAGCAGGTGCCAGGGCGACCTCATTATCGCCCCCAGCAAACCCATTCCCAGGCCCAAACTCATCACCAGCAGCAGCAACGTCAGCAGCAGCAGCAACAGCAGCAGCAGCAGCAGCCCACTACTCTAAACTGCAGCATCACGCAGGCAGACACAATTGCTTCAATGAAACCAAGGCAGGGAGCTCTCTGCAGAATTTACTTTACACAAAACAACGCAACAACAGGGGCATCCGCTGCAGCAGGCGCGCCTGCTGCAGCTTTCACGACTGCAGCAGCAGCTGCTGCTGCTGCAGGTACCCCTGCTGATACTCCTGCATTTGCTGCTGCTGCAGCTTCTCCTGTCTTTGTGGCGCCGCAGCAGCCAGAGGCTGGCAGAGGCCGGGCTGCTGCTGCGCTGCTGCGCGCTTACAGTGCTCCCCGTGTACAGACACTGCAGCAGCAGCAGCTGCAGCAGCAGCAGCTGCTTGGCTTAGGAGGCCACGCCACTAGCAGCAGCAAACTAAATCACAGAGAAGTGAACAATTTCCAGGCACAAAATGCAGCCTGTGCTGCAGTTGGTGGAGTGTACGTATACCGGAGAGCCACCAGCTGCTCTGCTGCTGCTGCTCCCGCCTCTGCCTCCTCCCCTGCCTTATTCAAATGTTCAGAGGGGCCTTTGCGCTTGACTTTTGAGGACTCGTTTTGACTTGCAAAGCGAGACAGTTCTGCTGCTGTTGCTGCTGCTGCTGCTGCAGCAGCAGCTGAGTGTTCAGTTACGAGACAAGTTCACTAATAGCCTCACCTGCATGTGTATAGGCACTTGTTTGCACTGGAGCAGCAGCAGCTGCTACTGGATCAGTCACTGAAGAAGCCATTAAGAGTATGAAGAGCTGCAAATATAGACATTGTAATTTATATATAAATTGTGTTGTCAGTTCATTTCTATTTGTTTTGCTTTTTCTATTCCGCAGGCTGCGCTGTGCTGTAGTCTGCATGCACTCTTCTCGTTGCTGCGCCTCTTCTTCTCTCCCTCACTTATACATTTCCGTGCATTTACTGAAAAGAATATTTTAAGAAAAAAATGCTCCATTATTTGTGTGCATGCAAAGGACTTTAGTGTGCATGCGTTGCGTATTCGGAGAGCACATATTCACATTTTATGAACGCACACACACACGCACTTGTGCAGATTTTTTTCGAGTAAACTTTCAACTCCAACACAGAAAAGCCCAATTATTAAATTACTAAGAGGTTCTCTTTTTCACTTCTCCTGAGGATTCCATTTGTTAGTTCCTCTGCGTTGTTTTCTTCCATGCCTTTTTGGTGTACACATCTGCAGCCTCGGTTTCTTGCAGGTTCTTTTCCACAAATGAATGAACTCTCCGCGCATTTGCAGTATTTATGAATCACAAAGGTTTAATATTTCGAACAAAATATTTAGAGGAAAGAAATGTCTCTGTAACTCTTCTATTTCTCGCGTTCTTTGCCCCCATCTGCAAGCTCCAGTTGCACTTCATGAAACATTTTATTGCCAAACACTTTCCATTTTCAAGTTTACGAAAGAACTGAAGCCCTTTTAGGTTTTCTGAACTTTTTGGGCGCGATTTTGTTTTATTTGTTTTATTTAATTCGTTTGGGCTTCGTCCAGCTGAGTTCATGTATAGTGAAAACTTCTTGCAATGTGCGGTGGGCTTTCTGGAGCTTTGCCCTTTATCTGAAATATTCAAATGTATATTTCTGCATATTATAAGTTCAAGTTGCTTCTGAGTTGGTTCAAGTTTGAGTTTGCAGATGCAAATTGAAAAGTCCATTTCTTAGCTGCTTTCCACTTGAAGTGAAATAAGAAAGCTTTCGAGTTGCTGGCGAGTCAACAGAACAGCGGCGAAACCAAGAAGATGAATTCAAACAATTGACTAAGCCCTCGAGTGCATTTAAAAGGATCTTCAAATATATTTATTTGGTGCTAATTTGTAAGGCATTCAACTTCACTTTTGAATGGCTCGTTTGGCCGTCATTTAATTTCTATTTTTGCTTCACACTTTGGGTCAAATTCCTTCGGAGTCGGCCTAAGGCTTCGGGCCGCCTCGAGCCACCGTGGTGGTCCAAGGCGCCGATCGACCGCTCTCGAAGTTGAATGTCTGTCGAATCCGCGTCAAAATAAATAAAAAATCGGCGCAAATGAGTTGAGGCATTAAATTAATGGATTGGATTCGCATTCTGGGTTTCGTCTTGGTTTTGTGGACTCACCGGCAGCTCGCAAGCTGTTTTCCGGACTTTACGTGGAAGGTGGAAGGCGGCTGACGAGTCGGCTGCGCGACTTCTGCAGATTTTTATTCTCCCAGATGCTTTAAAGGCGGAATAAAGAGATTAATTGAGTTGGTTTGCGGGATTGGGGAGTGGGAGGCAGCGGCGACAGACAGCTGTTGCTGCAGCAGCGGCTCCGTGGCTCGCTGGTGGCCCGCGGTCGGCGGCAGCGGCTGGCTTCGGCGAGTTGGTGGCCCTGCAGTTGAAAGAAGTGGAGAGTCATTTTAGTTTCTGAAAAGTGGAAAGTTTCGCTTTTTTGTTTTTCGTTCGGGCGTTCGGTTAACCGTTGCAGACACTGCGGAGTCGCTGGCGCGCTGCTAGACACCGGAAAATGAGTTCTCAGAAGCCGGCGTTGGCGGAGTTCACGGGGTGTTTGGCGCTGCTGCTGCTGTCGGGGCTGCTGCCCCTTTTAAAGGTGCAGTATTTGGATTTTCCGGCGTCTTTGTCCCTGAGTTACGGGCTGCTGCTGCTGGGAATGCGCGAGGTGGAGGCGCGGACGCTGAACCCGGCGCTGGCGCTTGCGGACATATTCCGGGGTCACCTGGAGCTCGGCGCGGGCCTCCTGGTGATCCTGGCGCAGTTCGCCGGCGCCGCGGCAGGAGCTTTCTTGCTTTCCGCGTTTTGCAGCCCCTCGGAGGCCTTTCCGGCGGCGGCGGGCGCCGCGCCCGCGGGCCAGCTGCTGGCCGTGCAGCTGGTCTGCGGCGCCGCGCTGGCCTTCGCGCACCTCCGCGGCGCAGCCAGCAGCAGCAAGTTCGGGGGCCCCTGGCTGGGGGCCCTCATGTACGGGAGCTTCGCAGTGGGGGGCGAAGCCACGGCCTTTCTGAACCCCGCAGTGGCCCTGGGCGTGAACGTCGCGCGGGGGGTCTCGGGGGGCCCCACGGACGAGGCCCTGTTGGCCGTGGTGGTGTTGGGGCCCCTGCTGGCTGCGGGCCTCTCCTTCGTGCTGGAGAAGGCCTCGGAGCGGAGTCTGCAGCTGTCGGAGCTGGTGGGCACTTTCTTCCTCAGCTTCGGCATTCTTGCTGCTGCAGCAAAGGGGGGCCCCGCTGCTGCAGTTGGCCTCGCCTTCTTCGCTGCTGCTGTTGTCCGCATGATTGCGCCCCTCTCCGGGGGCTCCCTCAACCCCGCAGTCTCGGGGGGGGCCCTTCTGAGCGAGGGCCGCAGCATATCTCGCGAGGTGGCCACAGTGTGGCTGTTTCAGGTGTGCGGCGCGCTGGCTGCTGCGCTGCTGCTGCTCCACGTCGGCAGCAGCAGCAGCAGCAGCGGCGCTGCAGCGCTCGCCTCCGGCGACTGGAAGGCCCTCGCCTTCTGCGCAGCACTCAGCGCACTCCTCATGATCTCTTATTGCACAAACTGGGGCGACTTCTTCGGCTCTCCGGCCGCGGCCGTGGTGGGCGCGGTGTACGGACTCTCCATTGCTGCGGACGCGGCTGCAGTGCCCGTCAACCCCGCCACTTCTCTCGGAGCTGCTTTCGCCGCTTTTTTCAAAACGGGAACTTTCCCAGACCCCCTCGCGACGTTTGCTGCTGTGTTTGTGCCGGTGATCGGCTGCATGGCGGGCGCCGTGCTGCTGCGCGCGATGCCTTCGGAGTACCGGAGGCGGCTCTAGCTGCGCAGCCCATAACTCCAAAAGCTCTCCTTCCGCGCTGCTTTCCCATTAAATGTCAATTGCAACAGTTTTATCGCTCTGTGGCGTGCACAGAGAGCCCGGGTGCCCCGCGATCCAGCTTGCTGCTGCTTTTGCAAGTTCCTGCATCGGCAGGCAGTCCGCTGCGCGCCTCTCGCGCGCTTGCTGCTGCGCACTCCTCAGTTTGAAATCCTTTGGTCAGCTTTATTTGCTGGTTTTAATCTTATTTAATCCTCTAATTTAATCGAAGATAGCTCTTCTTCGCCCGGACTCCCAGCGGGTCCTGCAGAAAGCGGCGCGTTTTCGCGCTCTGCGGTTTTAGTTCAACTGTCTCACCTTTTTATTTTTGTTATTCCTCAAAGTTGATCACACTTGTTCACTGTCTTTTAAATTCCATAATTTAGTCCAGAAATTCAGAAAGAATAACAGAAGTAGAAACCCGCAGTTTCTGAATTGTTTCGAAAGCATGCAGATCAGCGCACTGCTGCACAGACCCGCACGAAGTACGGCCGCGCAGCCAGCGCTGCTGCTGCTACTGCTGCTGCCTCTCAGCTCAAAGTGCAGCTAATTAGTTCAACTGCACTACACAGAAACGCCACAAGAACTAAAGCGCCGCCAGAATGGCAGCGGCAGCAGCAGCAGCAGGTTTGTTGCAACTGCACAGAGCTGCGCCCAGTGTGGGCAGGCAAGAAGGAAAGGAAATAAAGATGAACAGCGAATCAAAGATACAAACCCTCCGGAATATCTCCCTTCTTTCTGTACAGAGCCTTCTCTTTTGCCTGTCTCAAGTCGTCTTGAGTTATTTTCATTCTTCTTTCCCGCAGAGCCAACATGCCCGCCTCTGTGCAGATCGCCTGCGGGAAGCCAGGCGGACACCACAGCAGCAAACTTGTGAAATGCATGTTCAACGAGACAAAAACCGAAAATATAAACAAATAAATGTGAGTTAAAAATAAAAATAAACACACATATTGACAACTCCCGCTGTTTCTTGAGGAGCAGCCTTGAATTCGTTTATTTGCGCATCACCAACAGCACGGAGAGCTGCGCCCGTGAACGCAAATTTGCGAATACGTGTTTCGCAAATTTAAAGCTATAAAAGCATTTTAATCGAATAATATAATATTAATATAATATTAATATTATATAAATTGCTTTTGAATCACCTTAATGTCCGCCCCCGAGAGCTCATCCTTGGCCATGACAAACTCCTCGAGGTCAACATCGTCCGCCATCGTCATTCGCGAAGTGTGTATCTGAGAAACAAAAGAACCACAAAAGAAATATAAACTCGAATATAAATGCATAAAATATATTAACATAAAATATATAATAATATATATATATGCAGTCAACGAGCCACGCCTGGAAGGAAGCCCAACACGCACAACTTGAACATGCACTTTGCAGCTTCCCTGGATTTGACGCTGCGAGCAGAGTGTTTGAAAACGAAATCAAACCGAACTAAACCGAATTAAACCGAATTAAATTGAACTAAATTGCATTAAACTGCAGCAAACTGCATTGAGTTGGAACAAACTGCACAGAATCGCGCCAAAGAGGCTCCGTTTCGAGGCGGACTTGAAAGATCTTGCGCTTAGTTTTGGTGTCGGGGTTGGGAAGCTGGATCTTCCGGTCGATTCGCCCCGGCCGAATCAACGCAGGGTCTAAAGACTCAATTCTATTTGTTGCCAAAATGACTTTCACATCTCCGCGAGCTTCGAAGCCGTCCAGCTGGTTCAGCAGCTCCAGCATCGTCCGCTGGATTTCCTTCTCGCCCCCGCTCGTCGCGTCGTACCTTCGCCCGCAAAGCCCAGACAACGAATGCACATGCATGCATGCACGTGCATGCACGTGCATGCATGCATGCAAATGCATGCGTTTGCATGCATGCACATGCGTGCATGTGCATGCATGCACGTGCAACACGCGCACCACCCGGTTCGCACATTTCAACTCTGCAGACATGAACAAGCTGCGCCTGTGCTTCCACGCACACGAACAACGCATTTATCTATTTACTATTATTTATGTATTATTTATTACTATTTATTTATTTATTTGTTTGTTTGTTTGTTTATTTGCTGCTGCTTATTTTGGAGGGCCGGCCGCACCTCTTCGTGCCCACGGCGTCGATCTCGTCTATGAAGACTATTGAAGGCGCGTTTTCTTTCGCCAGTTTGAACATTTCGCGAACAAGTTTGGGACCATCTCCCAAATACTTTTGAATTAATTCACTTCCCACCACTCGCAGGAAAGTGGCGCTCGTTTCGTTCGCCACGGCCTTCGCCAGCAGCGTCTTTCCTGCGAGGTGCAGCAAAAAACGGACTCCTTTCAAGTTTCAGACCTGCGCTGCTGCTGCTGCTGCTGCTGCTGCTGCTGGGGTGCGCGGGAGGCCAGCCGCAGCAGCATAGGACGACAAAGAGCAGGCGCCGGCTGCAAGAAGTGCAGTAGCGGAAGCAGCAGCAAACAAGAAAGCAGCCGCAGCAACAAAGGGAGCAGCAGCAGCAGGAATGGCAGCAGCCACAAAGGCGAACGATGCAGAAGAAAAAGAAACCACTAAATCCAAATCAAAAAACTTAAATGCTGCAAAGTATAAACAGAAGAACGGACAGAAAGTACAGGCAGCAAATAGTGGAGAAACTGCTGCAGCAGCAAAGCAGCTGCGCAAGCCCACCAGCGAAGCACCCCCGTCTTCCCAAATATTTGGCAGTAAAGGGATCCACAGGCAGCCAAAGAGCTCATAAAAAGAAAAAGAAGTTTGTGAAATATTTAATTAATTATTTAATTAGTTTGTTTCATCTTAATTGCTCACCAGTGCCTGGCGGCCCGTACAGAATGACGCCTTTGGGCGGCGCAATGCCGATGTCTTCGAAGAATTCTGGGTGAGTCAGAGGGAATTCAACTGCTTCTTTTACTTCCTGGAGGAATTCAAACACTCACAAATGTGAAATAGCTCTCATAAATTAAATATTCAAAAGAAGTGCCATTCATAAATGTGAAATAGTCGTCATAAGTTGAACATTCAAATTCATAAGTGCGCGTACACCGCAACGGACACCCCAGCATCCGCATCAGCTGCAGGAAACTCGGCTGCTGCCGCTGTTTCTCAGATGTTCAAAGTGAAATAAGATTCAAAATGAATGAAATAAATAAAATAAATAAAATAAATGAAATAAATAAAATAAAATAATAAACAAAAGAAGAAGCAAATTTCTCGCAAACATGCAAAAATGGCGAACTTTCGCTGCTTCTGGTTTGCTTCTTTGCTGCTTCCCAAGGCTCCCGCAACTTTTCTGGCTTTTCACCGGGAAAAGAGAGGCCTTAGCATTAAATTGAACGCTTTTTAACATTTAAAACAAAAATAAAAGAAATGCAAATTAAAACTAAAAAGCGCCGCAAATTGCAAACATTTCGACAACTTCTGCACCTGGATCTGCTTCTCAAGCCCGCCTATATCCCCGTAGGTTTCCAGCGGCGCCTTCTCCACTTTCATCACTGAAATCAGCGGGTCAACTTCGTCGCTCAAAATGCCCACAATGCTGCTCGTCTGAACAACCAAAAGTGCATTTAAAATGAACAAAAATGCAAAAAAGTAGACAAAAAAGCAATCGATTGAAGAAAATGCAAACAAATAAACAAAAATGCGCAAAAAATGAACGAAAATGCACAGAAAATAAACAAAAATAAACAAAAAAACGAACAGAAACAAACAAAAAATAAAAATGCAAAAAACACAGATGCAGCCTTGCCATTGCTGGACCAGCCGCAGCAAAGAAACAGCGGCCAGCCACCCTCCCCCCAAGGCGGCACCAGCAGCAGCAGCAGCAGCAGCAGCAGTATCCAGCAGCAGCATCCCTACCCACCAGCAGCAGCAGCAGCAGCAGCAGTATCCAGCAGCAGCATCCCTACCCACCAGCAGCAGCAGCAGCAGCACCAGCAGCAGCAGCAGCACCAGCAGCAGCAGCAGCAGCAGCACCAGCAGCAGCAGCACCACCACCACCAGCAGCAGCAGCAGCAGCACCACCACCACCAGCAGCACCACCCGAACCAGCAGCAGCAGCACCACCACCCGAACCAGCAGCAGCAGCAGCAGCAGACCTTGTTGTGGAGCAGCACGGAGCAGCCGGGCTCGAGGAGGTCCTTGTCGACGAAGGACAAAATGTTGACATAATATTCTGGGCCGATCGAAGAGCTGACGATCGCGTGCTGCTCGTCGATCAGCTCCTCCAGTGTACCGACACTCAACGGCGAGCCCCGCAGTTCGTCCACCCGCGACACTTCCTCCTGCGCAGCGGCGCCGAGGGTTTAGGGTTTAGGGTTTAGGGTTTAGGGTTTGGGGTTTAGGGTTTGGGGTTGGGGTTTACGGCGCGCGGTTTTCGGGGTGGGTTGGGGTTGGGGCTGGGGTTGGGGCTTAGGGGGTGGGGTGGGCTTGGGGTTTGCAGCTGGGGTTTAGGGTTTAGGGTTTGGGGTTTGGAGCTAGGGTTTGACGTTTAGGGCTTGGGGTTTCGAGCCAGGGTTTGGGGTTAGGGCTTTTAGGGTTTAGGGTGTTCGTGCTCAGCTTTTGTGCAGCAGTTCAGGTTCCCCGTGGGGTGTACGTACACCCCAGCGCCGTGCGCGCTCACTTCATTTCTTTCTTCCGCCGGCTTGTGCTGCTCCTGGTTGCTGATGTACTGCAGCAAAAGAAGAAACACTAATTTACTTTCAATTGAATAAACATTCACAAATCCGAGCCCCTCACTTTCAAATGCAGCAGTAGCAGCAGCAGCAGCAGCAGAGCTGCTGCTCCTCCGCAAGGCCTCACTTCTTCTTCCAGCAGCAAATAGTCTTTTACGCGCTCCAACTTCAGCAGGCGCATGCGGCATTTCGTGACGGGAGTCACTGCAGCAGCAGCAGCAGCAGCAGCAGCAGCGGCGAGAAACGAAACATATCAAAAAGACAGATCCAGCACTTTAAATCCAACACCAAATAAATAACAGACTGCACAAGGCACAGACAACCGACGCTGCAGCCGTCGCTGCTGCTGCTACTGCTGCTGCTGCTGCTGCTGCTGCTGCTGCCTGCGCGTACCGTTCGGCAGCTTGGAAGCTCCCATGGCTCCCTTTGGCTTTTTGCGGCGCCCCACGTGGGAGGGCGGGGCGGCCTCCAAAGGTTTCTTTTCTTTTTTTTTATCTTTTTTATCATCTGAGGACAAAAGGGGCCTCGGCCAGGGGCGCATGCACCGGGTGTACGTACACCCCGCTCCACCCGCGGCTCTCCCTAAACACTTTCATATATATATATATTAACATTAAAGTATATATAATATATAATATAGAATATATTACATACAATATATAATATATAATTTATAAATATATAATACATCATATATAATATGTAAGATATATATATAATATATATAATATGGAATATATATATGTGTTTGCATATTTATCTGCACAAGTGTACAGACACTGGAGCAGCAATTGCTGCAGCAGAAATTGCTGCAGCAGCGACTGCTGCGGCAGCAATTCCTGCAGCAGCAAATGAATTTAAATGCCGAAAGAACTATATAAGTGGCTTTGGGGCCGCAGCCGCTGTGCGCTGCGGTGTACGTACACCTCAGGCCTACCGTTTCCCCCCGGGTGTCCAGGCAGGTTGAAGCCCCCATGGGCATTCCCCATTTTATTTTGAGTGCGGGAGCAGCAAAAGCTGCTGCTGCTGTTGCTGCTGCAGCTCGAGGACTGCTCCTGCTGCTGCTGTTGCTGCTGCTGCTGCTGTTGCTGCGGCAGCAAGAAATGCGTTTTGCTGCGCCAAAAAGACCTTCTTGGATATACTAAAGGGACTGGGGCTGGGAGTTGGCGAGTTAACCCTGGCCCCCGAGAGAGCCGCCGCCGTAGCCTTCCCTTTGCTGCTGCTGCTGCTGCTGCTGCTGCTGCTGCACTGACGCTGCAGCCACCTTCGTAGACTTCTCAGGGCCTAAACAGTGAATTAATTCAACAGCAAGTTAGACAGACGCAGGCTGCTGCTGCTGCGCCGCCGTGGTCTTTCCAGCCCCCCGACTGGCACACCTCCAGCAGGGCTGCTGCCGACAGCTGGTGCATGCAGCAGCAGCAGCAGCAGCAGCAAGTGGCAGCAAGGGCCCGCGCTGCTGTGCTGCTTTCAAAAAGCTGCTCTTCTCTTTTGCTTCCTCCAGAAGAACTCGAATGCCCCCGCGAGGCCGCAGCAGCAAAGGCAGCAGCTCAGTCGGTTGCAGGAAGCAGCAAAGGGCTGTCAGTTAATTCTTGAAGTTCTCCAAATCAAGAAAGTTGAAATAAAATTGGAGAAGAACTTTTCGCATTTGTGCAGATCTGCAGCTGCAGCTGAACTCTCTCTGTGCAGCGGCGGGCGGCGCCACCAGTCCTGGCCGAGGATGGAGCGCGGATTTGCAAAGTTTGAGTAAATCAAACGGCCAAAATGGTGGAATAAAACGAAAAATAATGAAAGCAGTGTCCGGGAAAACTTGAATTGTCCGCAATAAACGCAGAACCAAGTCGGAACGCCCCAAGATGGAGTGGCTCCGGCGGTCCTGTCAGCGCCTCTTCGCGACGTCTTATGCCAAAAGCTCTTATCACGAAGGCAAAATTGACCCTTTTGCAAATGTTCAATGGTAAATAAGTCGCGGATTTCTTCGGATCGCGTGCAGGGGTGGGTGAGCAGTTCGGGAGGTGTACGTACACCCCAGCTGCGCAGGCGCTGCGTGCGCTCCGCTGTGCAGGATTGCGAGGCCATTTATGAAACGGAATATGCCAAAAGACCACATTTTAGCGAAGCCTCACAGAAGTTTGAAAGCTATTACCATGTTGGATGAGGAAACGCGGAACCACTGGCACGTTCTGGACGCCAAGGGCAAGGCAAGTCGGCATTCAACTTGCAAGTTTCAGCTTTCTGAGGCGATCTGGAGAGTATCAGCAACCAGTCTGTTTGAACTTGTCCATTAAATGTCTTTTTCTGAGATTATTATTCCGTCCCGAGGGTTTTTGGAGCTCGAGTTTGCCGGGAGTTGAAGTTCAGATTCCCGCGCTGCAGCCTGCGTGCAGCAGTGCTGCTGCGTGTATCCGGAGTTATTTTTTCACTTTTTTGAATTTATTTCGAATTTGTTTTCTTCTTTTCAGAGTGTTGGAGGCCTCGCAGCGCAGATTTCGCGGCTGCTGCAGGGAAAGCACCGCGTGGATTACTCGCCTTTGAAGGTTTCGGGCGACTCCGTGGTAGTGGTGAATGCAATTCACGTCAAGTTCTCGGGACACACTTGGGACACGAAGATCTACAGATTCCCCCGAAAGAGTGAGGCATTTGCACCGACTTTTCTTCACTTTTAGGGCTTTTTCCTGCTGCTGCCGCTGCTGCTGCTGCTGCTGCTGCTGCAGCACGCTGGCGCGTGGCTGTGTCCTCGTTTGCTGCTGCAGCGCACCCGGGAGGCCCGAAAGTGGTGACAGCAAAAACAATAATGGCGCGAAACCCTTCGATGATAGTGCGTGGGGCGTTGGGGTGTACGTACAGCGCGCAGCGTGGGGGTGCGGCGAGCGCTGCTGCGTTCGTGTTCATTTCCTTTCATTTCTTTTTCATCTCACCTTCTCTTTCCAATTCTTTTGCGTTTCTTTTGTTTATTATTTTAATTCTTTTTGTTTCTTTTTGCCGGGTGGCCGCAGATCAACCTCGCCGTCAAACGCATGCTGCCCAACAACCGCCTCAGACAACTCTTCTACAGGTGGACCAGTGGACCACTGGACCAATAAATAATAAACCAATAAAGTAATAAAAGATAATAAAACAATAAAACAATAAAATAACCAAACAACAACATAACAAACCAATACAATAATAAACCGATACAATAATAAGCCAATAAATCAATAATATAATAAACTAATAAGCCAATAAAAGAACAAACCACTTAACCAATGACCAGTGGTCCAGTGGACCACTGGACCACTGCTGGGGTTGGATACTGCTGTTAAAGGGCTTCCACCACTTCCCAGCTCTCTCCGGTTCAGTTGTGTAGCAATTTTGATGCTTTAATTGGAATAAATATATATATTATACACAGTACATAATATGCAATATATAATATGTAGTATATAATACATAATATATAATATGTGGAATATATAACATATAATGTACAGTATATAATATATATATACATCTACATATATATATTGTGCAGCTGTTGTCTACTTTATATTGTCTGCATTGCACATTGATTTCATTTCGTTAAATGTGATAAAAAGAAAAATATCTTTTGAGGAAGTGACGATGGCCTTGGGGTGTAGCGACAGGTGTGGCGTCTGGGGTGTACGTACACCCGGGCGTGGGGCAGAGGGCGGCGGAGTCGGAAAGACAGCTGCCGCTGCGTTCGACTTTTTAATTTCATTTTTAGTCAAATGCGATTTTCTTTCTTCAGCCACAAGCAGTGACGTTTCAATTAATGGAGTTGTATAAATATATGCAATTAGTTGAAATATATAAAGTGAAAAAAGAAAAAGAAATTACATAAATATGTACAGTTAGTTGAATTATGTAAAGTGAGAAAAGAAAAAGAAATTCGTTTCTTTTCCGAATTTATTATGCACGTTTGTTCGTGCAGGAAAAGCCAAAACTCTTCGAAGCATTTTGCGTCTCTTTTAATCCACACTCCCCTACGTTCCCCCGTTGCTGCTGCTGCTGCTGCTGCTGCTGCTGCACGCGCAGCTGTCCGTACAGTGCAGGGCTTGAGACTGCAGCAGAGAAAAGCTTTTTTGTTTTCTGTCGGTTTTATATTTGTAGAGAAGTTGTTTAGAGTGTAGACCTGCAGCAGGCTTAATGGCTGTGGGGCCCGGGGGGCCAGAAAACATGAAAGGGCCAGTTTAAAGCCATTTAATCTGAATTCGAATATATATATTTATGTTTGAATATAATTTTTAATTAATATGATTTTAACTTTAATTTCAATTTATAGTTAAAACTCGAAAGTTCGAACGGCGTGGCCAGAGGGCTGCTGCAGAGGTCCAGTGGTTAGCCAGCCGCCCCACAGGAAGAGCGAGGCCGACAGCGCCAAGGGAAAATTTGGCGAAGATTTGATCTCAAAACATGAATTTGATTTAAATAATAAGAAGTAAATAACAAATCAATGGCAAATAAACAACAAATGAATGAAAATGAATGCGAAAACCTCAGAAAATGAGCCAAGAGGCCGGCGAAGCTGCTCAGACGAGGGGGCAGCGGTCGAGCTCACCAGCCGCTGCAAACGAAGCCAAAGTGGCCCTGCTGTGGCTCAAATGCCGAATCTTATTAAATCATTTAATTGAAAAGAACTTTAGAGAAAATTAATTTCTTTTTTGGCGACTCTTTTTCCCCGCTGACTGGTGGCGCCAGTGCGGACACCTGGGGTGTACAGACACCTCTCGCCAGCTTCCCACCGCGCGAAAACCCGCAATATGACCCCCACACTTTCACTTTTAATAAATTAAACTTCATTCACTGTTCGCGTTTATTGTTTTTATCTCCAATTGTCGAAGGATCGGGCTTCGTAGGGCTTAATCTTGGCTGGGACATTGCAGCGCCAGAAAGTTGAATTTGGCGAACTTTTCTCTTTTTTCTCGATTTTTCTCTCCAAAGAACCAATTTAAAGAACTTCTACAAAACTAAACTTCAATTCAATTTATTTATTTCCCATTTTCGACGCATTTGCCTCTTCACCGGCGAAACAGAAAGCTGGACCTTCCTGGGGGGTGTCAACTTGGCTTTTCTTCTTTTCTGCTTTTCTTTTTCTTTTTTTTCTGCTGCACTTCCACCTTTTTCTTCCTCTGGGCTTCTTGGCTTCGAGTGTGGGCTTGTCTTTTGCTGCTTCTCCTCTCCAACTTTCGTGGCTTCTCTTTATCTCATTCTCTTCAAAACTTCCAAAAAATTGAAGACAAAAGCTCCACTGACGGACAACTCACTGCAGCTTGCTGCTGCTGCTGCTGCTGCTGCAGGAGCCGCCGCTGCTGCTGCTGTTGCTGCAGCAGGAGCTGCTACTGCTGCAGCACGAGCTGCTGCTGCTGCAGCTGCTGCAGCTCTGATGGGTCTCTGTGAGCTAATTGGCTCCTCTGGACTTCGCGGCTGTGTGTTTTGAGGTGTACGTACACTCCAAGTTGGTCTTTCCTTCTCGAAGATGCAAGAAATGAATTTCACTTATTTTCAAAAGTGAGAGTCTTCAGCGCAACAGTGAGTTATTTAATCAATTAAATTAAATTAAATTTAATTTAATTTAATTAAATTTAGTCAAGTTAAATTAAATTTAATTATTTCATTTTTATTCAAGTTAAAAAGCCCACAGGCCCAAATTCATTTTTTCTCTTTTTTATATTTTTGCCTTTTAAGTTTTATTTTCTTTTTGTTGCCTTGCTGGCGCTCGTTTTCTGTTTTGGTTTACTTTAATTTTGCATTTGTTTCATCTTTTGATTATTTTAATTTGCATTTATTTCAAATTTAATTTATTTTTATTTTCAGATTTGCACTCGCAGCTTTGCGGCCCACAATGGCTTCCTCCAGGTGTCTGTACACCCCAGCGCCTTCTCTCGAAACTTCTTTTGCTGCTTCCGAAGCAGCAACAAGCGCGCCTAGTCAAGAGCAAGAGTCAGCTGCTGCTGCTGCTGCTGCTGCTGCTGCAGTCTCTGCTGCTGCTGCCGCCGCTGCTGCTGAGCATGCGCTGCTGCTGCTGCTGCTGCTGGTGTTTCCGCAGGCTG